CTTGAGATTTTTGTCTCCACGAGATCTCCTCCATACAAGCAATCTCAGCAAGAACCGCCTGACAAGAGACTCTTCTAGAACGTAGAGACTCCACATCCCCACCCGCCTCCTCAAGACGGTCAATCTCAGAAAAATCAGCAAGGACTCTGTTCTTCCTCCATTCTAGATTCCCGAAAACATCCTTGTTCCACTGCTTAAGAGCGAATTTGAGAGCTCTTAACTTCTTTGTGATTATGAAACTGGGCGATCCTGAAACAATGACTCCCTTCCACCAAGATCTGACTTGCTCTTGGAAATCCTCTGCACGTAGCCACATATTCTCAAATCTAAACGGGGTTTTTCGAGTACACAAACCCCCACAATCCAAGATCAAAGGAACATGATCAGAGATAACCCTTGCTAACATCGCCTAAATGACATCCAGGAATTTCTCTTCCCACGCCCTAGAAATTAGAAATCTATCCAGTCTTGAAAGAGTGATTCGATCCCTACCATTCGACCAAGTATATGCTGCACCTTCCATTGGTAAATCAACAAGAAGATGCTCATCAATAAAATCAGAAAATTGATCAATTTCCAGTGACCTTCTTCCCCCTGTAGACCTCTCTGACGGGGACCTGACAGAGTTGAAATCTCCTCCCAAGCACCAAGGGAGAGACCACAAACCTTGAACATCACTAAGCTCTTCCCAAAAGATGGGTCGCTCATGATCAATAACCGGTCCATAGACTCCAGTAAAAACCCATCTAAAATTGTCCTCTTCCGTATTAAACAGACAAGGCACAGAAAATCTCCCCATCCACACGTCTGTTCTAGATAACCATCTGCTGTCCCACATAATTAAAATCCCACCCGAAGTACCTATGGCATTCAAAGCCTCCCATTCCACAAACCTACCTCCCCACAAACTCCTGACTACCCTGTCAGAAATGGATGCCAGCTTGGTTTCCTGTAAACAAACAACTTGGGCACCCCACTTCCTTAAAGCTACCTTCACCACCCTTCTCTTGTTCAGGTCGTTGAGACCTCGAACATTCCATGTAATAATTCGTAGCTTCATTAAGAACTTGATAAAATTATCTCCCATTCACCCTTCTTAAGACTCCTACTCTTGGTCCTTCCCCTTTCCTTCACCACTCCTCTTATCCCTTCATAGTTGACTTCAGAAAGAAGACTCTTTATCTCCCTTGCCCCTTTCCAAGACAATAAAGGCCTCGTGTTCATAACTTGATTGGTCACTGCGACCTCTATCCCTTCCACAATCGCTTGAAGGATAGATAACGTCTGAAGTGTCGGAGACGTGTCTAGGAGTGTCCATGGGGTGTCGGACACAGACACGACACCTCATACAAGTGTCCGTGCTTCTTAGATCAGGTCTAAGGTTCGACTCTTCTTGGGTGCAAACAATTCCTTAGGGGGGTGTTGAGGATCAACTAGGAAAAAGAAATGGTAGTGCTTATATCATGCTCATTGGGGTTCCTTCCTTGATGCCATTGAGCACATTGTTTTAGGAGCCAATTGGAGGAATTAGATTATAGTATGTATGGCAATTTCTCCATTATCTTCCTTCTGAATGGCGTCTCTGCAGGATTTTTCAGATGTTCAAAGATGTCAAGATAGGGGATTCATGTTATTCTCTTTTCTTTATTGTGGTTATAGAAGTGCGAGTGAGATAATTTGTAAGGTAACAAGAGAAATTACGTGCCCTTCCAATTCTTTAATCCTGCCAATTCTTCCCCTTCTTCAGTACTGCAAGAAGAAGAGCCTCACCCTTTCATCACATGTTTTTGGAGTTGCCCCTCTTTTGGTAGTGCCCTCTTGCCAATTTTGGCTTGCCCTCAAGCCATCTTGACAGTCTTGTTAAATAATTTCTTTAGGGATTGGGGTTTTCAACTTTCCAGAGAGAGGTTCTGGAGAAATTAGAAGTATGATAAGGTGGGATCATTGGGATCCTTGATTTTGGGTTTTGGTTTTTCTAATTTTTAATTCTATCCCTAGATGGTATGTTAAAGAACTTTGGTTTAAAAGACTTCTACCGACGTATCCTATTCATTCCAAATCTCTAAAATGTGTTTGATCTGATGGCTCTAAAGGAGAGTTCATGGGGCTGTGCCCCCTTTATAGCCTTACTCTATTTTGTGTCCATCTTTACACTAAGACCTTAGTTGTCAAAAGGCTGGGGAAGATTCAGGGGATTTTCTTCATGATGGTATGGAAGAAGTCAAATACAAACTAATAATGCGGAATAAATGTACACTCCCTCACATTCCGAAGGGCTTGGATTGAGGATCCGTAGAGTTAACTCAAGCTCTCGTATGGAGATTGTGGAATATGGTAATATGTGGAAGTATAGTTTAGGATAAATTTTGGGGATGCAGCTCTATAGATTTATTTATTAATTTTTGGTTGGGACTTGGAACCTGGGAGGGTGACAGAAAGAGTTGGAACCTTGGACGGAATTTTTTCACACACACTGGCTTAATGTGAGATTCTCTTATGATGTTAGTGCTGGATAATCTCTCGAAGGTGTTGTTTCCAGACTCTTTAGGTCTGCCATAAACAGGGGAATTAAATGCGGATTATATCTGTTTTTTGGATTCTGGTGATGTGGCAACCCCAATTTTTAGATCTCTGTAGGATTGGGAGTTGGTCTCTGTGTATGTAATCTTTCAGACTCCATGTGGCTCTTTCTTGTGGGAGGTAGAAAGAATGCATTGAGATGGACTTCAAATAAACAAAAGTCATTAGAGTTTGATAATTTTATTTAGTGTTTTGTAGGGGCAACAAGGTTCCCTTGGAAAGTTATTTGGAAGGTCAAGGTGCCTTTTAAAGTAAATTTTTTTTTTTTGCAATGACTTTGGATAACTTTGGTTGGAGGGGTAAGCTTAATCCTAGTTGTTGTTTTTTATTCCGGAGGGTTGAGGAGAGTACCAATCACCCTCATTTATTGTGCGGTGGTGAATGACTTGTGGTGCATGTTGCTTTTTCTTTGTTTTGTGTCCATTGGGTTATGCTGCAGATGGATTATCAGAGTGACTGGTAAGATAGACCACACCCAACACAACCCGCCCCAACCAACACCACCCCCCCCCCCCCCCCCCCCCCCCCCCCAACAACAAAAAAAAAAAGAAAAGAAAAGAAGAAAAAGGCAAGAAATAAGTCACAGAGCATAGATACGAGTGTGGGACACAAATATGACATGATATTGGCAGGCAAACACAATAACTACAGAAAAACTTACATGTCTGTATACATTGAGGGTGTGATAAAATATATGCATGTTCATGTATATATGTAAAATTTTAAATTTCTATCATGACATAAAGGCATGACACTATGATTTAAACATTGGAATCACATGAGAAATATGTTGCATATAGACATGAACTTGAGGCCAGAAGTAACATAATTTGCCCACATGATATCTTAATGCTTCTTATTTGTGGAAAAGTCCAAATATTTGAAACCCTTATTTTTTCTTTAACAGTTTTGTTCTAATACTACGCTTGAAATGTTGCATCTCAGTCCTCAAGACATGTCTAACAAGTGTTTTAGATTATTTAGAAAAGTATCAGATATGTTATCTAAATTTATTTATTTTAAATCATAAATACGTTTCTGAAGATGGGGCACATATCTGGAAACACATAAGGAATATTGGTTTCTAATATAATCATGGATATGACTATCTTGTAGATTTATCCATGCTTCCTCATAGATAAAGCACCACTAACATGGAAAAGGTTCCATTTAAAGCTATATTACCCAACAAACTGGCTTGATATTTCCGTGTCTTGATCTTTTATTACTTGCTCTGCTATTGTTTTATATCATATAGAATAAGTTCATTTCCTGTACTGAATGATGGAAATAAGATGCTTGCTATCATGATATCTTTTTTGCTTCCCAAAATTGATAAGAGCAAGAATTATGTAGGACATTAGTTTTGCGTTCTTGAAATGTTCCATTTAGCAAATTTACTATTTCACGCTCTATATTTGCAATGGACATGAGATTTTCAGTTGCTTCTTGTTTTTTCCTTATGCTCTTTGGTCTGGTCTTTTTTCTCAGTTTTCTACTGCTTAGCCCCCTGCGTGGCCTGAGATCCTTGTGTGGCTTCTCAATAAGTGCTGGTGGGTTCCGATAGTGGATCTGTAATTCCTGCTAGGTCTTGATGTCCCAAATGGAAGAGTTCCCTTCTCTTTCTGGTAGAATCCATTTTGGCCCATATTAGTGTATTCTGTAGGCATGAAATTCTCTCTCTTTTAATTTAATTGATTTTCATTGCTTTGTTTCTGTCAAGTGGATGAAAGATGGAACGTTTTGTTTTGATTGCTTTAGTAAAGGGATAAACAGAGATTCACTGATGAGAATTTTTTCTTTCAGTAGCAGGTCCTTTTTGATTCTTTACTATTTTTTTTTTTTTTTTTCCTTCCCTATTTGAAACTCATACACCCACTTGTCCGACTTGAACCCTTAACCTTCTATTTTGGAAGGCTAAGGAAGTTCCACAAGGCTATATCCCTTGTGTTTCTCTTTTTGGTTTTAATTTATCAATAGATAAAATAGTAAGTTTTATTGTGTAGGCATAATAAGGATTTTCTTATTGGAATTGAAAATTATATTTGTACTTTTCTTCCCAAATGAAAAAAGTTTTGCTGATAAGCTTATCTGTCATGTTATCTTAGGCAGCCTTTGATTAGGATTTGTTTATGTGGATTTTTATTGGATTTTTCCTTCAGCACCATGCCTTGTTTTTCAAGGAAATTCAATCTTTAAACGCACGACATAATGTCTATAGCTTCCACTGAAACCAAAAAATCCATTATCCTAGGGTTAAATATATAGTGCACAGATGAATTTTTTCAATTTTATGTACTTCTAATTGATGATTTTTTTTTGGTAATTTAATGGCTCACATCAGTCAGGCTAAATTTGATGTTTATTTTGATGTAGTTCTTGATCATTTCTGTTATCGCCACTAAGTTGATTTGTTTCAGGGACGAGTTAATTTACGAAATCCAGATCACAAATTCTGGCTTATGGAAACTGATGACTATGGGTCAACTAATGGGCTTCCACCAGTTGTCCAGAGGAGAATATTTTTTGGTCGAGAAGTTGGTGCTGCTGATAGGAAGCTCTTGCCGACCTATCAATTAAAAAGTCGCACCTATCTTGGCCCTACTGCCATGGATGCAGAAATGGCTTTCCTTATGGCCAACCAAGCACTGGCCACTTCTGGAAAACTTGTCTATGACCCTTTTGTTGGTACTGGAAGCATTCTTGTTGCTGCAGCTCATTTTGGAGCAATGACAATGGTTGGTACTTTTTATTTTCTTTTGCTCATTTATTAGAAATCTTAGTTACTCTGAAAACATTCTTCACATGACACTTCCTTTTGAATATATATCTAATTGATTGAACATTTCCATGATAGATTTTCTTATAAAAAATTGTCTTATTGATTGAAAACAGACTAGTTTCTTTTACTATCAACTAATTTAAATTGTTCAGGGTGCAGACATTGACATTAGGGTAGTACGTGATGGCCGTGGACCAGACTGTAATGTTTGGAGCAATTTCAAGCAGGTGATTTTGCTATTAAATTTATTTCGTGATCTGTAAATATTGTGTTCTCTATATATTCTTTTGCCGATTAATGTATTCATACATTTTATGCCGGAGCTGTCATCCATATAAGATTATATGAATGGGCACCAAAATGAACCGTCAGTGACTTCTGTCTCCTCTATATTAGCTGATTTGATATTTTCATGTCAGCTAATCACATGGGTTCTCATGTCTGTCTGTTTGCTGTACAAACTTTATGAAGCCATATTTATCTGTTGATGCTGTTTTGCAGTATAACTTACCAATGCCAGTTTCTCTGTTGAGGGCAGATAATAACAGTCCTCCTTGGCGTGCTGGGTTAAAAGAGGTAACTACTTGTTCTCTGCAGTTGGTCAGCTGAATCTTTTTGTTCTTGCTGTATATGATTTTTTTTCCTTCTTTCCTTTTTTGCTTTATAATTTGATTGGTGTTCTTCACCCAGAATTTCTGGCATGTGTGATCTCTTAGTTTACAGTTGGTCTCGTGTTATATATTTTGAGTGTTTTATACATCTTTTTTATCTTATTAAAACTCTTGTAATTTTCCGCAATGTTAACATTTTCTCAACTAGTGCTTCTGTTGTGTCACTATATTATTTAAAAAAAAAGTATTTTGTCTAAGAATTTTGTACAGTTGTCAGAAAATTTTTAAATATTTTTGATAAGTAAGATTGTAGATTGTATTTGCAGTTGTAAGAATTCTCTTTTTCTGTTGGAGTCTAATAGAGGAAAATATAGTTGGGGTTGCCTTTTAATTTAGGTTTAATCTTCAATTTTCTACTTTTATTCTTAAAATTTAGAAGTGCAATATTTTAGTGACGTAAAATTTAGTCCCTCTATATATCTATATCTATATCTATATATGTACTACTGTTACAAGTATAAGCAATTTTTATTTTTTATATACATTTTCCAACATTTTTATACCATTTATTTATTATTTAAATTAATTAAAATCCAATTTATTCACACACACATGCTAAATAGCTCAGTTACTCTTTATTTTTTAGAACTCGAACTCCAATTTATACGTACATAAATGTGTGTGTATATATATATGCTATATAGCTCAGTCTCTATTTTTAATAACTCAACGTTTTCCTGATAAAAGATGAATTTATTTATTCATGAGAGCTCTCTGTCTTCATCATAAAAACTGAATTTATTCTTGAGAACTTCACGTCTTCTTCAGAAAAAGCGAAAATTTCTCTGTAGTTTTATTTTTTAATTTTTATCTTTCTTTAAATGCAGATTATGTAGTTTTTACACACACATATATTACGTGTATATATATTGATGAAGTCCACCATGAAACATGTCTAATGGTCTGCTCTCAATGTTGGTTTATGATGGATTTCCCTGGCTTTTGCATGTTATGTTACATCTTTAATTTCTTGTCCATTATCACAACTGTGATTCTTATGGCTAATAATTTCTCTGGCCTAATTTTCGCCTAACACCACCTTTATTTTGCTCAGACATAAATAAATTCTTTTATCATTTCATGGTTGTTATCCTTAAAGCGTCGAAAGCATGGTGTTGTTTTCCTGTAAAAGGGGACATACTTTTCCAAATGGCAAGTACTTATATGACGTCCTAATTAAATTGTAGTGTTTTAAGGTAAAACTTTGTCAAAAACTTAATAATTGTTAGAAGCCACGGACGAAAACAATCTGGGATTTTCTCACTGACTTATAGAAATAACAGTAGTCCTATCTCTACTCTCACATACAATGTATGTTTGTGTGTGTGTCAACAAAATCCTTTGTTGATAGCTAAGGTTTCAGTAAATGGAGTATAGAAAAAGACAAATGAATTTCTATTATATGATCTCAATCAAATATTACACACAATTTCGCAATTGGATTTGAAAAAACCAAACAAGTGAAAAAAATAACAAATAAATCAATAAATGGTACTCCACATTTAACAGGGAGAAGGTCCCTATGCCATGTTCCTGACCTGTGTTGTATTAAATTAATATAACATCTAGAAGTTGGCATATGGATAAATTTAATCTTTTCTAGGCATAAAAAAACTTTTCATCAAAACTAGATTGGATTGACCTTGTACCAAACAAGACCTACGGTAGTGAAATTTATTCTTCCGGCTTACTAGAGAAGAAGTTGGATAGCCCAAGATGTTGTGCATCTCTGAATCTGAAGGAACTAAGACTACAAAAAAACTCCTTCCAATTTCAATTAAGAATTGTTCTTCACTGGTGTCCTTATAAGGAACTAAGACTACATAATGTTTCAACACCCCCTATAGGAGTCTCCTCCCCATCAAATAACCTCCTATTCTCTCTTTCCACAAAGCCCACCACAAGCATAAGGGGGCATCCCTACACATGTCTCTAGCTTAAGATCCCACCAAACAACCTCTCCAGGCCTCAAGGAAGTTCTTTGTGCATTGTGGCATGACCCAATGAATCTCGAATATGGCATAGAGCATGTCCCAACCGTCCCTAGCCATAGGGCAATGTAAAAAGAGATGGCTCACTGACTTTCCATCCCTCTTGCACATACAACACCATTTGACGATGATCTGACGCCTCTTCCTTAGATTGTCAATTGCCAATATCCTTCCTAAGGCTGCTGTTCATTGAAAAAAGGCCACCTTTAAGAGGGCTTTGGTGTGCCAAATAGCCTTTCAGGGAAAAAAAAGGTTCCTTGGGCACCCAATAACTTGCTGTAGTACCCCGAATTTAGCTAGAGCCTGCCCTAAACCACCCATTCATCCCCTCCCCACCCACGTTCTGGCAATAATAGTGCCAAAAACTCTACTGCATCTTCCATCTCTTAATCCTGCAGAAACGACTTGAACTGCACATCCCACATCAATCCGTAGTAATCAAGATGATAACAGTTAACAACCAACGCCTGGCGATCAGAAGCAATCTGAAATAGTCCCGGGCTCTAGAGACCTCTCTCCACACCACGAATCCACCCAAAAGCCAACATGTCTCCCACTAGAGATTAAAAAGTAGTCCTGCTATTCAATCTGTTTTGTCAAAGGATGAGGGGAGTACCTGAAGGTTGACAAGCGGCTGAATATTTATTCAAGAAGGGCTTGTTTGATTTAAACGTACCATGTACTCCTTTAAAAGGCGTTCTGAGTGAATTATTTCAGCTCCACACTTTCTTTCCTACCTAGCACCCAGAGATAAGGAAGGGCTTAGTAAGTGACAAAATGCTTTGGGGAGTTGAAAATAAGCATAGATCTGGAGATTCCTGAATAGGTCAACCTTTCAAACTTCTGAGAACATTAACTCAAGAAAAAATTTCATTAAGAGCTCCATTGTAGAATTGTGACCTAACCATTAAGCAAGAAGTGATGGGAACAATTGAACCTATGAACCAATTCACGAAGTACCAAAGTCTTGATAGTTAGGTCTGGTCAAAAAATAATGTCGATGAAGGCGTGTAGGTGCACTATTCCGTGGTGGGAATTGTTTATGATGTAATGGGAACTCGCCATGCTCCTTACCAGACTTGTCATGTGTCTTGGCTGAATTTTATTTTCTCTTGGGGGTGGAGTTGGGAAAGGGTTGGCCCGTCCCCATTGCCATCCCAATATTATACTTCTCAGAATAAGAAAAAGAGAGAACAAATGAAAACGATAGTTAGGATACAATATTTCACAAGTAATTAAGGCACCATAAAGAGATATGTATGCTTATTTTATGTTCTGCACATTTGCATAATAAAGAAATACTAAGTTGGAAAAGGATTAAAGGATTAAAGACAAGTTGAAGACCTCATGCTTGCACACCAAAGAAAATGTGTTTGCCACGTTCTCTTTGTTTTCTTCTTGATGTTCATTCTTGTGGATGTCAGTTTTTTGTTTTGTATCGCATCCCGTCCATGTGTGCGCTACCTAGGTTACTTTCAGAGTTCATGAAGATTCATGTATACTACTGTGGATGTTGCTGTGTGTATATATATATATATATATAATTTTTAGGCAATTTCTGCATGTTCAATCAATTCTGGGAGTAGCCAGTTTATGCTAGCACAAGATAGTTATATGTTCAGTAAACTCCTAGCATCGTGCATCAGTGGAACTAACACTGGTTAATGACCTGTATTACTATTTCATTTTATATTTGATAATACTACTTTTAGACATGCTTAAGTTACTATAGATACCTTAATTGTTCTCCCCAACTAACTTCCTTTAAGTGCTGATTTCTTTTTTCAAAAAGCTGCTATGATTTTTTGCAATTCCTAAATATAACCGAAATACTTTTGCAACTCAAAATTAATTATTTTTACTGGATGTCAAATTTTGGGAAGCATTTCACTTGTACAACTGCAGATACTGATGCAGAACTGACATTTAGTACCTCAAAGTAGGCTTATAATCATAATAATAATAATAATAATAATAACCCTAGTCACCATGCGTGCCCTTGATATTTTTCTTGATGACTAATAATAATGTTGCTTGACCTTTATGGTTGTTACACATGTGATAAGTGGGAAAACAGTTCTTTTTTTTTTTTTTTTTTAATGTGAGAAGACATTTATAAAATCCTGGAGCTTAAATCCTTGAATAGCATACGGTGCTTTACCTTCTCCTGACTACATGAATTGTCAAGGGAATATCTAAAAAAGAATGAATTCCAGTTAGAGAACTTGAATGCAAAATTGAATTCTTTCTGCAATCATTCATATATAGCCACAACAAGTCAAAGCCTTTTATGTTGTTGTCGGTGAGTGCTTTCATGGATATTTTATATTTCTGATTCATTCTTTTTCTTTAATGATCTCTATTTATTAGATAATGTTCGGACTTACAGTTATTTGGAGCTTATGATAAATATTTGCTGTTAGGTAAATCTAAGAAGATATGGTATTAGGATGTTTGAGATCTCCCAGCGATTTGTTTAAACCCTTACTTTATTTTTTCCCATGTAAATGTTGTCTTTCTTTGTACTCTTAGCTGCATTGCTTTGTGTGTTTGAGCGACACATTTGCTCATACTCGAGTAACTCGACACAATATTCTGCTCATGCCTCTGTCTTGCTTTTTAATACTTTGTGTTGTTTCTGAAAGGTCTTTGATGCCATAATATGTGACCCTCCTTATGGGGTCCGTGCTGGTGGGCGCAAATCCGGTGGCCGGAAACTGTTGAAAGGGGTTGTGGGTCCTTACACCGTTCCCGATGACAAGAGGACAGACCACATACCCTCTACCGCTCCTTATAGCTTAGTTGAATGTGTGCATGATTTGCTTGACCTTGCCGCGAGGATGCTCGTGATGGGTGGGAGGCTTGTGTACTTCTACCCTGTACTAAGAGAAGACGATACAATTGATACCAATTTCCCGGAGCACCCTTGTTTCAAATTGATTGCTTCATGTGAACAGATGCTAAGCTTACGGTACAGCCGAATATTACTGACCATGGTGAAGACTGGACCGTACACCGAGGAAGTTGCTGAGTTGGCTAGGACCAAACATATGGAATTCAAGGAGAACCATCTGAAGTGGTTAGAAGAAGGTAATCTTCGTTCTGCAGTTTTCAGTCCTACTGACTCTCAGTTGGGTGGAGCAGTTGATACTAAATTTAATAAGGATTGGAAGCCAAAATACAGAGGGAAATATGTGTAATTTTATTTTATTTTTCTGGCAAAAAACTCGCACACCCAAATTACCGGGGACTCAAATTTTTGACCTTCTACTTTGGAAGGTGAGTACCAATGAGTTATAACTCTTGGTGGTGGTGTAATTTTTACTTCAAGCAGCAGTTTTTAAGTTTATTATTATTTTTTTTCCTCTGGTTTTTCTTTCAAAGTTGTTTACCAGCATTTATGCTTTAAGTCACATAAAGCGGAAATAGGAGCGAGAATGAATTCGAGAGTGGGAGAGCGAAAGCGGCAAAATTTAGTCACAAATAGTGGTAATGAGAGAGGGAGTGGGAGCGCGCTCGGAGCGTGAAAGCGACACCCGTAAAGGAAGATTGTGTAACTTAGTTTATGTCTTAACTGGTTATACAGATTTTCTATAAATCGAACAAGGTTCAATATGTTTAGAACCAAATTGAAATGCACCCAATTGTGGTAAAAATGTTACGACAAATTTCCAGATTTCAAGTCCATAGATTTGTTCCTCACTACTGAAGTCATACAAATCTGACCTAGAATGGTAAAAAAAATGGTGCAAACTGCGTTGTTGCTGATTATATAAACGTTTATAATGTGATCCTTCCTTCTTCATGTATGTTATGCATCCATATTGAGGAGCATGCAAGAACTACAGCATAACTGGTACTATTTGTCCCTCAACCTCTCGCCACACACACACACACACACACACATTGACTCTCTCTTGTACCTACTTTGTTTGTTGAATCATATTTCCGGCACAGGTTATAGAAAATGAGTTGTACAAAATTTAGAAGATTACAAAATTGTTCTTGTGCAGCCAGACTTTTGTACACTTTTAAACCCGATCCACTGGGCCTTTGGCCATGTTCTCGAAGTGGACTGGTTTGGGTTCCGCCCGATACACAAAGAATGGGCGGTTCATCCAAGAACCGGCCGTGAATACACCCAGAAATATACCAAGCTATAACAAAATCAGTAGCCGGTGGCCGGTTCAACGAACCATGATTGAAATAGAAAAATCTATTTGAGAGATGCAACACACCATGCAATACATTTATTTTGAGGACGCATTATTATAATGTATTTTAATCGGCAGTAATAAACTATTATTTATTTATTTTATTTTTTATTATGGTGGACTCTTTTATGGAGACAAGGGGGAACATTAGGAATAGAGGCCCCCAAGGGTTTGGTCCAGCGGTAAGGTAAGGGTCTTAGTTCTAACATGTTTAAGGTTTGACTCCCCAACGCTACATTATAGTCCCTAACTAACCTAATACTGTAGTTATGGGGCTGGTTGCAGTATTCCCAATTTGTTACCTTGGGGTGGGTCTAAAGGGCCTTGCCCGAGGGAGTTCTAGGTATAAAAAATAAATAAATAAATACATTAGGAATAGATGGGGGAAGCACATGCAACTTAGATATAGTTGACACATTGCCATCTCTCCATTAATTGCAGCTGGCAGCTTCAGAGTCAAAGAGCTACCATCAATAATATATATATATATATATATGCACACACACATATACTATACATGTGTGAAAAAGTAAAAATATTCACGGCTTCTCCCCCTTCTTATTGTTGAGAAATTATATATCCTTTCCTTTTTTGTCTTCCTTTTTCTAAGTAATTAAACAAATGGTACCACCACTTTTAGTTGTTCTCATTTTGAGTTCTCATATTATTGGGAATTCACAAGCCCAACTCAGAGTAGGTTTCTATTCCGAGACATGTCCAGATGCCGAGTCCATTGTCGGTGGTGTTGTTCGGCAAGCCACTCTCTCAGACTCCAACATTCCTGCTGTCTTGCTTAGGCTCCACTTTCATGACTGCTTTGTTCAGGTATATATATGTATGTATTTGTGTATGTGTGTGTGTGTGTATATATATATATGTATGTATTTGTGTATGTGATATATAGTATCTGTTAATTTGGGGTGCAGGGATGTGATGGGTCAATACTGATAGACAACGGGCCTGATGCTGAGAGACATGCATTTGGTCACCAAGGAGTGAGTGGTTTTGAAGTGATCGAGAGAGCCAAGTCGCAACTGGAAGGTGTGTGTCCAGGTGTTGTTTCTTGCGCAGACATCGTGGCCTTGGCTGCTAGAGATGCCATTTCCTTGGTACTAATTACATGCATACCTTTTCATCATCATTCTCCTCAACTAACTTCATTCTTCTCCTTCTTTTCATCTCTACTGCCATATTTGATTGGAGGGAAGGAGCGACGAGGAATGGACGAGAGGGAGATAAAAATGTTTTTTGGGGAGAGGGAAAAAGAGGAAGAGGCTGGGAGAGAAAAAGAATGAATAATTAGTAATTTTCATTTTTAACCTTTTAAAAAATTTAGAATGAATATTTAATTTTTATAATTTTATATAACGGGGTATGTTGGTAAAAAGAATATAAAACCTGTTTTTCCATCTTCAAATAAAATAATAATAATAATAATAAAAATCACAATCTATTTTTTATACTATTCTTGATTTTCATTGAATCAAATAAAAAATGAAGAGAGACATTTTCTTCTTTCATTCATTTATTTTCCTCTTTATTCTACTTATTTTTCCATTCCTCCAACCAAATGTACACACATGTACACTTAACCTGACTTCGCATGTGAAGAGTTTATTTCTTGTTTTGAACTAATTTTTTTTTAGATATTTTTGAATTCTTTTTCTAGTTATGTAGCTCTAATTCTATAGGGTATAACGAATTTTTTTTTTTTTTTTTTCAAAAAGTAAAAAATAAATATGCTTTGAATAGATTTTTTTTTCAAGGTAATGATTTTAGACCTAAAAAGGCAAGTAAAAATACTGGAGAGGGATTTCTATTTCTTTGTATTGGATAAGCAATGAATGGGGATGTAAAAGATAAGAAATTGTCAACTAGCATTCTAGGTTAGACACTTAAGTCTAAATAGCACTGTATTTTTATTTATTTATCGTTCTGAACTTGTCTGCAACTGTTTCTCTATTAAAATCGTGGCAACGCTATGACATAACTTTAATTTTGAGTGAACCACAATAAATTTGCGTATTCTGATATGTTTTTGTTTGTATGTATATGTGTCTTATATGTAAGTATACACACACACATATGTATATATATATATATATATATATATATATATATATATGATTGAGTTGTTAATGGTTTTGTTTTGTTGTTTGTAAATGAGATGAACAGACAAATGGGCCAGGGTATGATGTACCGACAGGGAGAAGAGACGGTGTGGTTTCGAATATATCGATGGCCGAAGACATGCCAGATATAAGTGACTCAGTTCAGCAACTCAAAGCCAAGTTTTTGCAGAAGGGACTCTCTGACAAAGACCTCGTGCTTCTCACTGGTAAGTAATATTTCCAATGGATAACCCCTCTTCCTTTCTCTCTCTCTCTAGATATTTCTCTCTCTATCATGCAGTAGGGATTGGAACGAGTCATTAATAGCACTTGCCCCCCTACAAAAACATACTTTCTAATTTTTAATTTTTATTTTTTTATATATTTTTTTGAAAATGAAAAAAGTATAAGATAAAATAATAATAAAAATCTTTATTGATTTAGTTTTGATACTATAAAAGCAAAAACCATCATTTATGAGAGTGCATTTTTATACAACCAAAGTTGTTCACTCACATTGAAAATGTGGACCGATCAAAGATATTTCTGTTTTTATTTTTTTTTTTATTTTTGGGTAATTAAGTGAGATTTAACAAGTGAACTTTGGAGCTAAAACATAAGCAAGTTCGAGCATTGAAGTTGAAAATCATTCAAATATGATAATATTTTCATATTTTCTTTTTTAGTTTTCAATTGGGAAGGTCCAAAATAAAAAAATGGATTTTTGAATCAAATTGAAAACTGGACTTATACAAATTTTAAATAAAAATAACAGAAAAAAAGAAAGAACTTTTACATATTCAAATACTCTGATCCATTCAAAGTCGGAAATGACTCAAACATAGTCACATTTTCACATTTCTCATTGTTTTTCTTCTAGAAATTTCAAAATTAATACATACATATATATGTATGTATATATAGAACATTTTTGTTGTGGTGCCTATACAAACATAGTTGGAAATGAAATCGAACTCTTTTTTTTTTTGGGTAATTGAAATGAATTAAAACTTTATGATATATATATATATATAGACCTTACATTTAGTCAATTAATGGGCCACAAATCACGTTATTTAAAAGAACTAGATGTGGACAGTGGACATTAACCTAACATATCAAGAATTAAAAGCCTTTCTGAGTATAATATTTCAGTTCTGTTAAATGTTCCTTTCCTACCACGTATATTGAACCATCAGTTGTCTCTAACATCTAAAAAAAATTAAAAATGTATATCTCAAACCACACTACACTTTTCTTGATGTGAATCATTAACTCTCATTTGCTGGATCTATCTGTCACAATTTAAGCATCTGTTTCTGGATATTTTTAAGGGACTCTACTTTTAGGAGTGAAACAATAGTTTTATTAGGCTGCAATTCCCCCCAAAAAATTGTTTAATTTCATTTTTATGTTAAACTTTATTGGTTATGACCACATTCTAGGGCTAGCCCTACTCTTATCATTGTGGGGGTACGGAGAGGGTCAGATTTACGTAATCTCATCTTCGTAAAGAGTGAAAATGCCATTATTCCCACAAAAATAGCTTTCATTTTTATGTTAAACTTTGTGTTATGACCAATAATTAGGGCTAGAGTCTACAAAGTTCGTATATAGAGATTTTTTTTGTTTCGAACTCGTGATCCGTTGGTCACAATAAAACATAGTTGTGGGGTTTAGGGAGTGTCAAATTTATATAACCTTACCTTCGTAAACAAAGATGATATTTCTGTTTCGAATTCGTGATCTTCAACTCACAATGAAACATAGTTACATGCTTTGTTGAACGACAATAGGCTAATTGTAATAATAACATGTTTATGGAAAAATTGCAGCTTCACATACGATTGGTACAACAGCATGTTTCTTCATGACAAAAAGGCTGTACAACTTCTTTCCCGACGGGGGTTCTGATCCGGCTATAAACCCTAATTTCCTACCGGAGCTGAAATCAAACTGCCCACAAAACGGGGACATCAATGTACGATTACCGATAGACCGGGGCAGCGGACAGACATTCGACAACCAAATTTTGAGCAACGTTAGGGATGGGTTTGCTGTGCTACAATCTGATGCAATTCTCTATGAAGATGAGGCAACCAAGAGTGTGGTAGACTCTTACTTTGGTATGCTAAGCCCAATACTTGGACCAACATTTGAGGTGGATTATGTTGATTCAATAGTGAGAATGGGTCACATTGGGGTTAAGACTGGCTTGCAAGGGCAGATTAGGCGTGTTTGTGGAATGTTTAATTGAATTGTATAATGGATTTGGTGTGTATCCTGGTTCAATTGTATGCTTCACTTAAACAACTTTGAAATGTTAATATGTTTATATGACTAGTTTTTTTTTTTTGAAAAGCGGGCAAGAAATAGATTTTGTTATGTTCAATTAAGAATAATGTGCTATGAAAATGAAAATTAATGAATTTAGATCTTACAATGACGCATGTAGTTACTAGACTCCCTACCCAATTAAGAAGATGCATGGATATGGACATGGATGCGAACACGAGACGATATGATACTAATATAATGATATGATAATTATAAAAAACACGATGTGGGACACCTAGAGAATAGTTCTAGGGTGCCGACATGTGTTAGATGCGGTTAGAAATATCCTAAATAGTAAATATTTTATTTTTTGATTATATACGATTGCGACACGGCAATGATACGTTTTTCACACTTTTAATTTTAGGCTAAAACGGGATGATTTTGTAAAACTTTTAGGATACAACAGGGTGATTTTGTAATTTAAAAAGTTTTTGACACTTTTAGTTTTAGGCTAAAACGAGATGATTTTGTAAAACTTTTAGGGTACAACAGGGTGATTTTGTAATTTAAGAAGTTTTTCACACTTTTAGTTTTAGGCTAAAACGGGATGATTTTGTAAAATTTTTAAGATACAACGAGGTGATTTTGTAATTTAAAAAAAAAAAATTCGATGCAATTTAAAATATATTATGAGTTAATTAGAAAAATAATATAAAATTTAAGAAAACAAAAATAACAAACATTTACCACTAAATTCTAAATTCCAAATTAGTGACTTATTAATGATTATATGGATAAAATAAAAAAATATTATATATATATATCCATGCCATACCCATATATATATATATATATATTTTAAGATTTTTCGGCGAGTCCGTATCTTGTTGTCCATCAAGCTTCATAACAATAGTATGATGACAAAGGCTCCTCTATATAACTCAAAATTAAAATTTAAAACCAATAAAATAAATTTATGTTTCAACCATTTTTTAAATATATCAATATTTCACTACCGATCAGTGGGTTTGCAACTATGAAGCATGGACACGGAACACGGAATATAGGTACGATACGATATGGATACGGTGATACGTAAAATTTCAAAAAAATAAGACACGAACACAGTAATAAAATAAAATAATTAATTATTATATATATATATAATAATAATAATAATACTAGTAATTATGTTTTTTCAATTTCTCCTTTATTCTTAACCCTTTTAAATTAGGCCTACTAAATATTTTGAGTCTAAAGCCCAAATTCTATTAATATATACACAAAGAAATAAATATCTCTTTCATCAAAATGGCTAAGTTTTATCCGTAACCAGACAAGGATAAAAGTAAATAAGGTTTAACTTCTATTCTCATCCACTCTCTTTTACTCTCTTTATCTCTTTTCAGCCATTCTTTTCCCGTTACACCACTCTTCTCATCTTCTCATTTTTTTTCTTTCCGATCCTCTCACTTGTGGTCATTCCGATGTTATAACCTTATACGACTTCGCATCAAGGGATTTTAAAGATTCATCTACTGTAAATTTTAGATTAGGTGGCATATAAGAACATGATCTATAAATCCAGTTTTTTTTTTTTTTTTGATACTCTCTCTATCCCAAAAAAGATGTTCTGTTTGAAGAATTGTAACTCACAAATTCGGTTCTTCAAACAGGACATTTAATTTGAGACGGAGGTAGTACTATATATATATATATATATATATCTCATCTTATTCTTTTTTGTGTTTTTGTGCACTTGTCTAAAGCTCGAACACGTGTCCGTCATGGATACTGATACATTGTACCTTGGCAACATGTCTAGAGTTCGGACACGGACACGGACACAGACACGTATACTGGGTTCGCAGTAACCAAGTTTTTCTATGCAACTCATGTGACTCTGCCTTCATTTCGGTTGTTAGTCTCTATAAGCTGAATTGAGCAGTTGAATAAAGATAAATAATCATGAGAAGTTAATGCAGTAACTCACCCAAATGGTCATACTTTTTGCCTTCCTCGCGAGATCATAAGCTCATCCTTTGCAGCACTTCTCTAAGCTTTTTAAAATGCCCGCTCCCAACCATGATAATAGAAAGGGTTAACAAAAAAAACCCCTCTTTATTATTGATATAGCGATAAAAAAGTCTTTGTATGATATGAAATTTCTTTATATTATTAATTTGGTATAAATAGGTCTTATATGGTATAAAATAACGATAATACCCTCACTTCAGTTAAATAAATTAATAACTATAAATACAGGTCATGTAAAATGATCTTTTTGTCCAATTTGTGTAAAATTGTATTTGTTTGGGACAAGAATAAAATAAATTTCAAATTGTATAAAATCAGTATAAGCTAAACCAAAGAAACCTAAAATTAGATATAATAAAGACCAAAACCAAACACTTCATCCTAATAAAGATGGGGTATACCGATGGTGCAACCAAGGCCTTGTTCCAGCAACTGTCTGTTTCACACCCCAATGTCTGATTCACCCATCTGGTTAGAAGACTTAATGGGAATGCCTTCTCTATACACAATGAAATCCTCATACATTTATTTGAGGAAGAAAATCGCCATGTCTTCTCAAAACTTGATTACTTCATGGTAGAAGATCGAATGTTTTCTTGGTTTTTTTTCGGCGTGACAGTTTCAAGGAAGAGATTTATGCAGCTGCCATTGAATACCAATTATCATGGATTATGCCAGAATCCAGATCTGTTGAATTTTTATACATTCCCTTCATAAGATTAATATATATATATATATATATATATATATATATATATATATTAAAAATCACAAAATAATTGTTTTAAAAAAACAAATTGATATAGGAAAACAAATATTGAGAAGAGGCCTCAGAGATCTTGGTGGATAAAAAATCATCAGATGGATTCAGGAGGAACCCAATCAAGAGTAGCAAATATCAATATCACATCACCGGCCACAACTATATATATATTTTCTTTCAATATTAAATCCATAACCAAATAATTTATTTATTTAACTAAATCATGGTAAATCATTGTAGTACGACTTTGCTCAGTGGCAACACAAGCGCCGGTGGGAGGACTAACCCTAGAGAGAGAGAGAGAGAGAGAGAGAGAGAGGCGAGGAAATGGGTACAGGGGGGGGAGTTACATGAGAGGCACGATGGGAATCAAAAGGCTAAAATAGGGATTTCAAAATTAATTTTCAAAAAGTAAAAATTAATTTTGCACAAACCCTATATATGAGGAATTTTTTTTGCACTCAACCCTAAGGACTAGTTTGGTGTGCAGAAATAAAATAGAATGGAATGAGAATATAGGTGGGAATGGATTGAAAATAGAAAAGGAATGGAATGGTCATTCTCATTTCATTGTTTGGCTGGACCATCCTATAACTAGAATGGAATGATTTTTTTTTTTTTGCAAAATATTCTTATCAAAATTCAAAATTCAAAATTAAAAATAAATTAAAAATAAATAAGAATAAGAATTGATCAACAGCAATTTGTAGTATGAATCCACCAACACCAGTGATATCTTTTGAGTTTTATCAATCTGCTTGATATCTCTAATGAACATTTATGCATCTATCTCTATGGTGCTTACTATTTGAATTTACATCCCCAAATTACAGATCTATTACCACCTTATTTGACTGGCAGTGTTTGAGACCGCGATAGAGATACCAAACCTCCTCTCCACTATTGCTACAACTGTGAATACTACATACCTTGATTATTCTATAAATCTAAAAAAGTTAGAAATCGTTGTGTTCTTAAGCAAAACCGAATTTATCCGAATTCAATTCTTTGCTAGTGAAAACAACAGTAAGATTCAATAAAGCATAGGAATCACAGCCCTCTACCGCTGCCACTGCCCGTCGACAATGGCGAGAGAGAAGGAAGACGTATATGGGTGGTGAGAGAGGAAGGAGAGAGAGAGGGAAGTGTGGAACTGTGAGGGGAGAAGTGGAGGCAGAGGAAAGTTTTTTAGGAGTGTTAGAAAAGAGACGGTGGGGGAAGACGGCTAAGGGAGACGATTGAGGGAGGCGGTAGCAGGTCATCTTGGAGGTTTCGTGAGTCATGAAAGAAGTTTTTACGTTAAGACGTTTTTATTTTTTATTTTTTCTATTTTACGTTTATTTTATTTTATTTTTTGTTCGGAATGGAATGACCATTCCTTTGGTCAAGAAGAAGAATGGCTATTCCAACTTCAAAATGGCACAACAAACAAGGGAAAAGGAATCAGAAGTTGGAATGGTCATTCCATTCTAGCCCATTCTAGCACACCAAAGTAGCCCTAATAGAAATAAGAAAGCCATTAAACTTCAGGCAAAGCAGAACAGCCAATAGGGAAAATAAATAAATAAAACCATGATCCATGGAGGCATCAACTGAATAGGTCCAGCAGATATATTGAGCACTAGAGAAGCTGTGTCCAAACTTAAGATCATCCAAGCAGCAAATTTCAATTGGATAATATTCTCAAAATACCTTCTATACTCGATTCATATCTGTATCTAGGTTCATTTCAGTATGCTTCTTAAACAGTTCTGCCAATATATATATATATTGGTAGGCACCAATTTTTTCCAACTTTACTATGTACTTCTAATGCCACCATTAGTTCCAAGGTTTGAAACTAATGTACCACCTTGTGTAGTTGCACCAAGTACAGTGAAGGAAATCAAATCTATAGATTAAGGCGTTTAAATAGTTGGATTAGACTACATACCAGTAGCAGCCAATTTTTATTACTTCCAACGTTTGAGCATACCTGTGACAAAAAATCAGACAGTACTACCACATCTCATTGCAGTGGACAAATCACAACATTGTTATATACATATTTTTACAACTAATGTTGGAGATTAGAATTGCCTTCCACCAATGGCAACTAGGTGACGACGCTAAGGATCAGCAAGTGAGTACAACCATTAACATAGGTACGCTTTTTCCCCATCAATTCTCCTATCTATTACTAAAACAGTTATTCAAACAAAGTTCAAGACTAATGCAGAGTTTAAGATAATGGTACATTACATGAAGACGGCTGTCTCAAGACCCTATAACACATTTTTCCATATTTGGCAACTCGTTACGACCCTGTTTCTTTTTGGAGACACCCAACTGCATTCCCACGGCAACTAAGGTTTCGAGTGATCTTTCACTGTTTACCAAAAGGTCCTCATCTATCTGTATTGCATCCTGCATAATTTGTTGGAGATTGAGCCAGAAGTCAATATATAGTTTACCCAAATCATATATATATTTCTGACATGATGCATGCAAAGCTATAACTTTGAATAAAAATATACGTAGAGAAGATTTCGTAGTGCATAGAAACATCAAACATTCACATGGTCTTTGAATATGCAGTGGCAAAATCGCAAACTCTTTAATTAGAAAAACAATCCTAGTGTAGGAGATAAAGTTAAAAAAATTTATTTAAGAGGCACGTTTTAGATTTTGAAACACAAGACAATACACGAAAGGTCTTCACAAGACAGAAAAATGAAGAAATAATTTAAAAATACATAAAACCTTAAGGAATCCATAATAAAATAAATACTTTATTTTTCATAATTTGAGGATACCATATATTATATATTATATTGTTAGTACAAATAACTATATGACATGCACTTCATCACCTATGAAGTATTCTAAATCTTTTAACACCACAAATCTAAAATCAACAATAAAACGGTCATGAACAAATTTTAAACCAACATCCGACCACTTTTATGGTTCACTTAACAAAACTTATATTTTCCACAATCATGTGAAAGATGCAGTTTCTTTTTGCTTGAATTATGCAAACAGAAGCAAAAATTTGCATATAAATTTCGTACTGAGTTATGGTTGGAACAAGGAAATGAGACGGATACAGTTGATTCCAACAAACAGTCTAGTTCATCTGTAGGTTTTGTAAAGCATATATTATCTTGAATATTTTGTTTTATTCCTCATAAAGTTAGTCATACAAAGTTCTCCATGGAACTATAAACAGTACATTGTCAGAAGATGAAAGACGAAAAATATCAATGGATATATAAGCACTATGGCAACACACAAGCATAGAATTATTTCAGCAAAAAAAAAAAAAAGACTTATGAATAACCACAAGCATAGTTATATTCTATAGATAAGTATGTATTATACTATTATGTAGTTATTGCTTATTATGTAGTTATATCAATATTGATATCATATTATTGCTAAGTAAGTTTGCACAACAAAAGTCTTTTAGATGACCCACTATAAACAAAATTGTCAAGGGCCATTCAAATGCCAAATCACAATGAAATCCATCTTAATTCATTTCCATTTCATTTTATTTCTTGAATAGAGAAACTGTCAGCACACGTGCAACAACAACAACAACATGCTATCATATTTTTCTTTACGAACTCCACCCACGTTAACTTTGGTCTTCTTCTTCACCTAGTATTATCCTCAATGTGGACTATGTCATTTTTCCCAACTGGCACACTTAAAATTCTACTTCGCACATGTCCAAACCATCTTAAATGATTTTCTCTCATTTTATCTCCACTTGGATGGCTGGAGTGCTAGTCCAGCCATCTCCCAAATATGATCATTTCTAATTCTATCCCTTCTAGTCTCACCGCACATACATCTCAACATTCGCATTTCTATCACACTCTTTATGCAAATGTTGTTTCTAAGCTGCCCAACATTCGGTATTATGAAGTATGGCTGGTCTAATAGCTGTTCTATAGAACTCCCCTTTCAATCGTAAGGCGATACACCTATCACACAATATAATAGATGCACTCCTCCATTTAACCCATCCCACCTTGATTTTATGATTAACATCATCTCCAATTTCTCCCTAATTATGAATAATTGAGCCTAAATGACAAAAATGTACACTTTTTTGTGCCTCTTGATTTACAATTCTCACTACATCCTCATTTATCTTTCTAGATTTACAAAAGTTACACTCCATATATTCAGTTTTATTTCGACTTAGCTTAAACCCTTTTAGGTCTAAAACTTTTCTCCAAACCTTCAATTTGGCATTAACTCCTTCGCTACTCTCATCAACTAAAACAATATCATCAACAAATTTGAAACACCACGGAATCTTATCTTGAATGTGTCTTAACAGCTCACTCATCATAAACAAGGCAAAAAGGAGTGGACTTAATATTGACCCTTAGTGTAAACCTATAGTAAATGGGAACTCACTTGTTTCCCCTATAGGCGTTCTAACTATAGTCACACAACCATCATACATGCTCTTCATTGTGTCAATATATCCCTTTGTGACTCCTTTCTTTTCTACAACCCCTCCATATTAGGTCTTTTGGTACCATATCAGAAGTTTTCTCCAAAAAAAAAAAAAAAACATACATACAGAGATCTCTCTTTTTCTCTCTATATCCTTCCATTAGTCTCGTCAACAAGTAAATAGCCTCCATCGTTGACCTACCCAGCATGAATTCAAATTGATTCCCAAACACTTTCATCTCTCATCTTAGGCATTGTTCAATCACTCTCTCTCAAAGTTTCATAGTGCGACTCATTAATTTAATACCACGGTAAATATTACAACTTTGTAGTTCTTAAGTCAGCTTTTATTACATCTTTATGTTTTTGGGGTTCGGGTAGGCTTTGTTCCTCCCCGGAGGAGATGATTGATTTTATTTCTTCTTTGGGACCATAGGATCCCTTTGTTGTTTTTGGAACACGTTCCCTTTTTTAATGTTTTTTGAATGAATTTGCTTAATTATAAAAAAAAAATAAAAAATAAAACTTTGTAATTAATACCACGTCCAAAAAAATGACAGGTAAAATGCAAAAGAGAAATTAATAGACACATCTAAAAGTAAATGCGGATCAAAATGATATTTCTTCATTTCACCATTCTCTTCCGGTGGTGTCAGTGGACAAGACATATTAAAACAAAATAAAATTACACACAATATATGGTTAAGTTTAGAGGTGTATTTTACTCTAGCAATGGGGCTAGCACAAATATCAACCACGAAACCAGGGAAAGGAAAAATTATGATAATACTTCCTGGATCCGAGAGAAGTGTTTGGCTACTAACCTTTTCGAAAACACAAATTACAGTACTTCCACCAAATGAGAAATATCCAAACTGTATAATGAAGGTAGAATGCCAATCAGAAATCAAATAGCAAAAAACGAACAAAATAGAAGAAAAAGTAAACGCGACATCATAAACTGTAAACCTCATCTCCTTTCTGGACATAATCCCCTTCCTTCTTGGTGAAGGTGATGCTGCCAACCATCGTTGCTCCAATAGCAACAAATGCGACCTGCACCCAAATCGTATCAAGTGAGTTCCTCTATGATACGGAAAACAGAACATCTGAATTGTTATTTAAGCCAGATATTGAAGCACACAGTCGATGAAAAAACAACATTCCTGTAATAACAAAGCAAGCCTGAACATTTTTGTAAAAATGAAGGTGCCATTGCTTGTAAAAATTGTAAAGTCCTAGTCAAGGATGAGAACATTGGCTAATTCAAAGGAAAGCTATTTCACACGAGTAAAAGCCAAAGGTTAGGTCTACATCCAATCCACCCGTCAGAACCATTAATCATTGGTATCAAACCAGATAATTGAACCTAGAAAGACTGATAAATAGGAGGTAAGTGTACACTCAAAGGATAGGTAAACTCGCCACCCTGAGGAATCCATCCAAGGGATAAGAGTAAGCATACTTGGCCCACCAAAAGAATCCACCAAAAGAATAAGGTTAAGGATATCAAGAAGAACTCCTCCTTAAGAAGACAAAGGCTCAAATATCATTCAATTCCACAAGGTTGCTATATAGCACATGAGCAAGTACTTAAATGGAGTTGGCATGGAACAACCTTCCAGCATAGGTAGAAATCCAAAGCCACTAATTCTTTTCATAACCGATAAAAAAAAAAAAAAAAACTTAAATGAGGCCTTGGGGACTTGAAAACTCATCAAAAGAGGTCTAATAGCTGATTTTGTATTATTCGTCTCCTCAAGCTCTCTCTCTCGATTTCTTTCCTCTTTTCTGATGTACGTACAGAGATCACATGCATGGTAGGAGAGCAGTCCCCTTTCTTCGCTACACATGAATGTTCCTGAGGAATGTCAAGGTAATATTGCACATTATCTTACTAATCGCAAGCCCTCGTATGCTCTTATTGGTCAAGTTTGTTATGCTGCTTTATTTTTATATTTACCAGTGTTTGATTTGCCTCAGCTTTCTGATTGCTCATGATCTTACTCCAGTGGTCTAGAAAACTTGTCGCCTTGTGCTGCTAGTTTTTGCAATTTATATTCAAACTCAAGAGGGATACAAGTGTTTCAAATCTTCTCATCATTATTTTATCAGTGCAAATATTATCTTATTTGAGAGTACACATTTTTTTTTTCTCTACAAGGCGTTGTGATGGAAAATGATATTATTATGAATTCTCCAATTGTTCCTTTATCAGTTCTTCAATTACCTACAGTTAACTGAAATCTCTTTATTCTCCATAACAATTGAATGTGCACCTTGTCCACTAGAGATTTACCAAAAGAGGTCAACGGCTAATAAAGACCAATTTGTCCTACACCTTCTCGATCATTTGATTCGCCAACATGTAAAAGTCCTACACTTCCATATGAGGTTCCTACATTCAAGGATCTTCCGATTACATTTAGGAAAAGGCGCTTGACACAGTACTCTTCATCCTCTACAGAATTTGATTTGTTCATCTCATTTATCATCACACCTTTATCTTTTGTTCATCCTTATCTTCCATTGTTGTTTCTCTATACAATGTTAAGGTCATTTCCTCTACTGGTCGGCTAGTCGGGAGCAATAAAGGAAGAAAAGATGGCAACATTACACCATAATGAGTAATAAAAACTGACCACTTTGGTTCTCAGAAAGTAAACTGTTGGATTTCTTTGCTTTATGCTATTAAGTATCATCCCGATGACATAACTGAGAAATTGAAAGCTCAACTGGTTGCTAAAGGGTAAAATTCAGACATTTCAGGCAGACTACTTTAAAATCTGCTCGTGTTTCTCATCTAAAGTCGTCAATGTATTGCTTTTCGTGGTGGTTGCGAAGGCACTAACTTCTTCACCAACTTGATCTGTATAGCACATTCCTTCGCGTTGAGTTTCAAGAGGGAGTGTATATGGACCAACTTCCTACGAATGTTTCTCTGAGGAATCATACAAGGTATGTCGACTTAAAAGAAGGGGGAAAAAAAATTATTTATGGGTTGAAATGGTCTCCTAAAACTTCGTTTGATAAATTCAGTTTAGTGGCTAAATGTGGGTTGCAACATACTACATCTGTTCATTCAGTATTTGTTTGACAAATCTCCTAGTGGAATTTATGGTACTTATCATGTACTTACAAGATATTATGGGTAGATGGAGTGATGTTAAAACTATTAATGATCTTGAAATTTATTTGAGCCATTATTTTTCGTATAAAAGATCTCGCAAGCTTGAGGTAATTTCTGGACATTCAAATTAATAGATCTGCACGGTGGATGTCTCTTTCAAAGGCAAAAAAGTTGTTGATTTCTAGGGGAACAGATCTTTTAGTGATCTTTTAGGAGCAAAACCAATTGACACTACCAACGGGCCAGTGGCCTAGCGGTATTAGACCCTTACTTTCCAAAGGGAGGTCAAGGGTTCAAGCCTCCATGGAGGCATGTGTGTTTGAGTATCAACTATGAAAAAAAAAAAAAAAAAAAAAAAAAAAAAACCAATTGACACTCCTATGTATCCTAAATTCCTAATGTAAAATTTGAGTGAGAAACAGGTCCATTATTTGACGATCCTTGCAAGTATAGGCAACTACTAGGGAAATTTATAAGTGTACTCCATCCACCTCTCTCATCTTATATGCATGTAAAGGGCACTTTGTAAGGGCGCTATGATTGAATGGGTTATAGTGAATATTGAATGGGTTGAAGTCTATGAAAAGCCAGATTGACAATGGACTAGGGCTGGATTTCAACATCATGCTTCCGGCATATAACACATCACATTATATTTGTCCCTTAACATTTTAGACCTATATACTATAGATCAAAGGGACATGGTCAGAGTTTATCTGCCAAAATCAAAGATTTTTTAATTGCAAAAGGGCATATGACTACAACGGATACGTATTATTCGTCCCTGCACACATGGATGAAGTGTTTATGTTATAGTAGACTACAGAACTGGCCTTTGAAATCTGATGTGCCAAGACATCCATATATTTTGTCATTCGCATATAGAAATCTGAAATTAGAGTCATTTAAATGACTAAAATTACAAACCTTTCCAAAATCTGATGTTGAGATAATAGACACGACCCTTTTGTTCTCTGTGAACACATTACAGTACTTGCTATTCACGGCAATAGGGTTAACCTTGAATATTAGAAATACAGCAGCAATTAGAAACAATTGGAAATAGAGAAAAGTGAAGAACAATCAATTTAAGATCAACATTAAAAGAAATCTATCTCCACGATGCACATACCGTATATAAGCATCCAGGTATGTGATCAAATCTCTCAATTTTTCCAGAAACTGGGAAATGGAAACGATGATAATCCTGCATTAATTGGGAAATACTAAACTTCAGAAGTACAATCAGAATGATTAATAACCTTTATCGTAAGAAAGTGATTACATAAAATACCTGTGGTGCCAATCTGAATATCACCAAGGTTCCATCTATGAAAGAGCTGGAGCATGTTTCTTTCCCCAAAAGACCTTGAACAGAAAATTTTTTACCCTAAGGGTAACAAATAAGATTCCAGATGTAAGGTAAAGTACATCCAAAAATTTGAAGAAAATAAAGAACAATATTTTCTTGTGGCAAATTTAAGAACTAGTACAGTTAGGTCTATTTACTGCGGTACAGCCAGCATAGTTGGGGCTTGTTACCACTTCCAAACTTTTCTTAATCTATGCATGTTCAAAAATTATTAACACTCCCGGCAAAGGCCATCCCTTGGGTAATTACATCCTCAAAATTCCTAACCTTGTACATGCACACTATTTGTGACTTCAGCCGGCAGGTGGTTTTAATCCTTCACTATTCGTCAGTCCTGATAAACGACTAATGCAGAACAAAATTACCAAGCCAAACAAAACAATTGTTGGATCAGGTCTGCTGTGTGATTCGATCAAGCAGAGGCTGGGGGTGGGGGAGGTAAAAGGAAATTTACAAAAGGGTGAAAGCTGCAAAAGCTGTATCTCGTTTACAAGTAAAATATGCCGTAAATACTAATTACAGTGTCTACTTGAAACAATTTATAATGCTGTCCTGAGAAACAAGGGCAATCCTAATCATTAAGATATCTTATTCCTGGCAATCAAAATGCTGTATTAAATATTAGACTTAAAAGAAGAAAGCTCTAAAGTAGCAGCAGTCCAAGGTGCAAGGTAGACCTATCGGGCTGTCAAGTTTATTTCTGAACAGTTTTTGTGCACTTCCAATGCCTAAGTAGCATGATACGGCCACGATACAACATGAAACATTTTGATAAGAAAATCTTGAAAAAAAAGGACATGACACAGCAATAAAATATAAATTTCTACATAAAATAATATTATATGCAACAAACACTATTTCATAATAAGAAGATTTAACATTCTATTACAGTCAAAATTGAAGAGAGAAATAGAACATGTTTTGTGGAAGTGTTTGGAAGCCACAGCTGCCTTGGACAAGCTTCTTCAAAAGCTTACTACGAGGTTTCTTAGCCCGCAGATGACTACTTAGCCGCCCATTCATTCAGAGGCCTTTTGTAAAGCATTACTACTCTTCAAAGAAGGTTGTATATCTGGCTTTATCTCAAAGAACTCAAGGTTATACGTGGTCCAGCCACTAGGGGTTACATCCACGACACACAAAGCCCAAAGGGTACATCTCTTTCATTACATTCTCTCATGATTATATTTACAATAACCACCTTTATTTATAGGTGAATTGGGGGAGACTTGTAGCTAGAGAATAGAAATTCCTTGCTCTACAAGTATTTTATAATAAAGGAATTACATAGAAAATCAAATACGAATATGGTAACAACTTGTTGGTCAAGTATAGCAAAGTTAACATTCAGTCAAGGAGTGATTTAAGGGCTTAAATCACTCTTATAGTTATTCTCCAACAATTATTATAACAAGAAATTTGTAAGTTTGTAACTTATAAATCATATAATTATCACCACCCTGTCAATTGTCATACAGAGAAACATCTACAAAAAGAAGACATGAAATACGTATGTGTGAGTTTGTGTATGTATTTAGATATGTATGTCTATGTACACACATATTAAATGATTCCTCTCCTACTCTCTTACCATACCCAATACTTCAGTAAAACCTTTCCTCTTCTGATTTTGAAATATGGTTGAACTTCATATACATATTATACAAGCCTTTAATTTGACTTTCTTGTAATTAAAAGTTTTATTTGTTTCATTTTTTCAACTTGCTAAGAAACACACACACCCACCCACCCACCCACTTGCCCCTACGGTGAGTTGAACACTCGACCTTCTACTTTGGAAGTACCACTAGGGTACAGCCATTGGTGGTACTTTGTAATTAAACTTCCACCACGCAAATTGTGTTATCCAATGTCCAAGGTTCATTAGTCAGATGTTAGCACATGTTGGAAGCATCAACCAAAATCTTGCAACTATATATATTAAGGACAAATCTAGGATGTGTCGGACGTGCATCCAGGAGTTCCCAAGAAGTCACACAGATATGACTCCTCCTTACAAGTTACCTTGTTTTTTTGTCAGTGCTGCCAGTCAGCCAAAAACTGTTCTGCTGTCTCCGTTACTGCATCTTTGGTTGTTCTTGTAGTTAGTGCTTAATCAAGTCTCCCACGACTAGTTTATGACTTACTACCATCTAAAACAACCTCCGAAGAATATATTATAATAAACACATCACCTTAACAAAACCATTTTATATTAAATCTACTTTTCAAGTAAAACAACATGCGCTCCCATCATCAGCTGCCATAGCTGTTTGCATATTCATGAAAGCATAAAAGTAACCAAGCAGTGTCAGAAAATTGTACTTCTTGCATGAGAACACCTGCAAGGGCAAGTAGTATTATAATACCTTAATCCAAAACCTCAGACTGTCCTCGATGGTTCTGTATGCCATTAGACGGCTATCAGCAGCACATACAGCAACATCATCACGTTCCGTGCAGGCAATAGGTCTCACGCCAGGTTTTAACTCTCTTATAAAAAATTCATTAAATGTCTGCATACAGAAATATTTGAAATCAACATACTGAGAGTAGATGATGGCATCTGTTACATTATAACAAACTTAATAAAGCTACAGCAACGATATTGACATAACACCACAACCAAATCAATAGCTATATCACAATGACTCTTGGTAGGTAAGCTGCTGAATTTCTGTAAATGCAGCCAAGTTTCATGTACAGAGACAGATCCTTCAGTTATTGATTGGGTTAAGGTTCTTTAATTCTCTCAGAGATTACTGGAGCCCTGTAGGATCAAGCTGCATAGCTAGTGGAATTAGGATACCGCCTTCCTCTACAAGCAAGCAGATTTCTCGCTTAAATAATTTCTGTAGGAGTTGTTATCTCAAATTAGAAGAACGGCAAGGGCTTAAATGCATTGTGACCACATCAATGAAGATATTAAAATCAGTTAAATTAACTTGCCTCATCCAGTAGGGTTGGCTATTAGGTGATAAAATAACTTTAAAGTAAAAATGGCACTAAACAGAAAGCCCAATTGAATTTCTCTGACAGAATTCGTGCTAAGCAGGAAGTAGTGTTGAAGAAGTTTAAGGCAGCATGGCTCACCAACTTCACGTACACACACACACACAGAAAAAAAAAGAAAAAAAAGAAAAGGAAAAAGCAATCTTAGTTAAATGCAGCAGATTAGCAATTGAGGTAAGAGAAACTGCAATGATATACGTATAACAGACAAGGAGCCAAATGAGACCATGCAGACACACCAGAAGAGGTTGTTTCATCCACTGCGGTGTTCTTAGCTAATTGCACACTAGTTTATTCCCATGTTATCTGATGCTTTCTTTTCACTCCTAACTCTACGATAACCTGTAGCATTGTCGCATGAGTCACAGCAATTTGAATCACAGAGTAGTTATTCATTCGTTCTTCTCTCTTATTGATATGATAGGAATATTTCCTTCTGAAAGGAAAGCTAGCTAGTGAACCTTAATCGCTTTTTTAACTGGATGAGATTCAACACTTTTTGTTATGTCTACATCACTAGCCCTTGTTTTTAGGATGGAAATCCCATCTTGTCCCAAAAGATGCAATTACCTAGTATTGATCAGCATTAATTGAGTATTTTAAGAAGCATTGACCAAGTACAAACCTAAATTTGACAGTATTTGAACAAAGCGGCTTCCATCAGACTGAGAACCCCAATCTCACAATTGGCAGGCCAGGCTATAACCACAGTACCAAGCAATAGTCAGATTTATAGGAATTGCCATGTTTGTTGTGCACAGTCAACCAAAATCTTGAGCGCTTTGGAACATGGGGTCAGAAACATGCAGTTAGATAACTTGGCTACTCGCTCTACATGTATCAATGGTTACTTAATCAGAACACCGTTAGTGAAGTTTATTTCGGGATTTTTTTCCCTTTTATCAAGATAAATATCAATACTTCATGTTATCTTTAGAACTTAAGTCTATTCCATTAACTTTTAAATAAACATGCCTCATAATTTTCCAAAAAAAAAAAAAGCACAAACGAAGAGTGAAAAACAACGCTTTTGAATTACTAAATTTAGCAATCTATAGTGGAAGTGTACCATATGACCAGTTGTTCACATATTGGATTGTGCAATTGGCATACAACATGGTGGCTACCCAATCTCACAAACCTTAACCCTCTTTATGACAACGAGCTCTCTTTATCTCAAAAACCTAAATCTGGGCCATATATATAACCAGGTCCAAATCCAACAGAAAAACCTACAACAACAACAATAACGACAACAACAATCAAGCCTTTTTGCCAACTACTTAGGGTCAGCTACATGAATCCTATGTTTCCATTCCACTCTATTTGAAGTTATAGCCTCAGTCCATCTACATGCTATCATATCCTTACTAACTCTACCCACATAAACTTTGGTCTTCCTATTCTCCAAGTACCCTCAATGTGAACTGTCACTTTTCCTAACAGGGCACTTAAAATGTCATCTGTATATTTTTTTTTATAAGTAACGTATAATTAGAAAGCATTCAAGCAGGGAACCATGACAAAGTTTAATGTTGGCTCTCAAGCTATCTAATGCAACCCTCCTCCTTTATCCAGGCTTGGGATTGACTGTGTAAAGAAATACAGGAAGAGAAAAAACTATTTTAAAAAAAAAAAGAGAAAGAAAAAGAAACTCACTACATAGCCTAGACCACTGAGCCAGGTTGCCCAAAAGAATTCGGGCTAGGGGTACTAGCCCCCAGACCCCTAGTGAAGAATTAGGGAAAACTACCATGCATTTTCCTCCAACCTTCAGAAGGCCTCTTGGACTAAAATTTCAAGACACTATCATATAGAATGTGAAACCACAAAAATATCCTAGATAAAATATACTTTAGTGATCCAGTTAGATTCAATCACTTATTAGTTCAAATACTGATCTCCAGGAGCTATCCTGAAATGCCCATGTAAGAAACATCCACAGATGTTAATATAAGAATTCAATCATTGACATGACCTTAATTCATAAAATCCAAGTGATAATAGTACATAAAAATAATAAAATTTAATATAAAGAAATAAGAAAAACAAGGAATATCTATTCATGTGCATAAATTAAATGAACTTCCATTTTCTTTTCCCCACAAATCCTTACCTTAAAATGCTCCAAAGGGTGCTTGACTTCAGCCAATTTGATTTGATCCTGCACAAAATAGTTGATTTGAATTAGATAAATGAAGGACAACGTTAAATGCATGTGATTTCGAAATATATAAATCAACACGAACATAGTTAGAATAGGATAGAACACTGAAAGACTACCAAGAAAAATTTATGACATTCAAATATGTATTCCAACTATAACAGGAAAGAATATGCATGCACAGAAAAAAATACAAGAAAGGACACAATATACATGAATCATGTTTCTCCTCCATCAATATTATCCACTAATCAAACTAAAAAGTGAGAGTCTTTTCACTGTGATGCTTTAGCAATTCCATTTTATTAAGCAAAGGTTTAAGGATTGCTTAGTTCAACTCAACACATTATCAAAAACCAATTTTTTTTTAGATAACATATAGAAACACATATACTTACGCCAGGGAACAAAAGTTTAAATTTCAGCTGCTTAGCATCAGTTACATAAATTCTTTTTTGCCTTCAACTTCATGAATCATGATTCATGTTCATAAAGTAAAGAAAAGGCTTCACATCAGCTCCCTACCTCACACACATAAAAAGCATGCACAACTCAACTCAATAAAGCTTTGATCCCAACTATTGGGGGTTAGTTATGTGAATCTTTTTATCTCCTAAGTTCCATAACTCATGTTAACCAGGTGTCATTAAAAGTTTCACTCCTCTACTCCTTAGGATTGCCATCTTTTTTCTCTGGGCATGGTGTTTAGCTGTGAGAAGACTAGACACAAAATACATAACGACAACATGACCATTGTTGTTACAAACTAGCATGTATATGAATAAGTTAGTTTAATATTACCATTGTTAACAACAAAAAGTTGTATTATCATTAGAGCAACAGAATAAAACAATACTAGTCGTTCTATCTTCCCATATCTGAAAGGTAAGGAAAATACCGTTGCTCAGCCACATCAGTCGAAAATTTTTACCTTTTTAAAAATTAACCAGTGAATTTCGATTAGAATTTTGAGATAGCATTGAAGGTGCCAACTAGCCAAACTAGTAAAGCCTCTCAGTAGTCATAACAGAGACCAGAGATCAAGACCATCATTCTTCCAAGTTTAGGGGGAGCAGTCCCCATCTTCCTCTTCCCCTTCCCAGTTGTGTAACCCATACCAATGGACCAGAAGAAAGTAACAGAATTATTGAACATCATATTGTAAGCTGTCAATTTATGTTGAGAATCTTCCATTACGGGACTAAAATGCATATATTGGGTATGGAAGCCTTAAAAAATAACAAAATAAAAAAATAATCCTTGCTAGAAGATGGTTGAGTTATACTACTTTCCAATATATTTGGGTACACATTGTAACAATATATATATTGTTGGGTCTCCCTCGCTAGTTTAAAGCATCTTTCTGCAAGAATTTCTATTGTCCCTGTAAAACTTCGGATTTCCTTGTCCTTCCTTATGATGTAACTAGTAATAGAGTGAGGGTTTACCTTCACAAAAGATTTTGCAAGTTACAATTGAGAATTTCCTCTTTATTGAGTAAATTATCCCATTCCTGATGAGTTAGAGGCCTCTAGCGCCCCTTGTCAAAAACTTTTGCTATAATCCTACCTTGAATGGTGGTCTTCTTTTCACATGATCAAGACATCCAAAACAACTTTCCCTATCTTATATAAGCTATAAGCGGTGTTCTCATATTCCCATACATGTGTTACATCTGCAGCACTTCCACATATCCAATTTAAAATTCTTAACTCATCTAAATTGAACCAACCACTAAATTCACGATGTTCCACACGCATGCATGGAACACATGAGAAAGATAGAAGCAGAAGGAAACCATCTGGTCAAACAGGGTCTGCCCAAATATGCACACTTCAAAGCTTTAATTAGCAACTAAACTCTCACAGAAAATTAGTAAATATTGGCAAATCTAGTTCAAAACCAATCAGTATGGTTAGTTTTTGAGAAACAAATTGGAAATTTAAAATTGAGGAAAAAGAAGAATAATCATGTTGGAAGGTTGTAAACATGAATGCATCAATTATTAGGCTATAGACATACGTCAGAGTAACAAACATAACTAAAAAAAAAATTAGGTGTAAAACAAAATGCCTGAATGCAAAATTCAAAAAACTTAGAGCACTAGTTGTTGTTTAGCAGTAAGCTATTCCTATTGAAAAAAAAAAAAAAAAAAAATGGTCACCGGCATTCTTTCCGTGGCTGCGATCAATTAAACATCAAAATCAGGAAATAGCCACATGACTGTTGCATATTCTAAAAAGATATGTGCAATGATACTAGAGTCAAACAACACAAATTCAAAAAAGAGGAGTCAAAGAAGAGTTTATCTGAAACTCAAAGACACAAGCTCCATCTAACGTAGCCTCATTATACTCCAAACTTGATCACCAAAGAAGCAGAAATATTTTATTAAAGTTAAAATCATGACAGCAGTATTACAATGTTATGTTCACTTAGAAAGACGATCATGCCTTGAAAAAATCAAGGAACGTAGGTATATCTCCAGCAGATTCAACAGAATTCATTTTCCTTCCCTGCTTTTCGGAGATGCTCTGCAAGAGTTCTTTTGCCCCTGCACCCAATTGGAGAACCAAACTATTTATAATCAGAAAGGATGCTAAAATATGATCAAACAAGATAAGAAACAATCACTTGAGAGGTTTGGAGGACACCAATGAGTAAAAAAAAAATTTTTTGGTGGGGGAGGTAAAAAAGACCAGGTTTCAGAACTTGAAATCGTTAAGAGAAGACTTGACAGCCTCTAGGCTGATTTAAAAATGTCATTATATCGAGCAAGCAATAAAATGTTGTTTTTCGTCAGTTAGAATAACTCTTATACATTCAACTTCAGTGGGGGACTGAGATTCAACTAATAAAAAAGGCATTACATTGAGTTCCACCATAAAATCAATTAGAGAGAGCTAAAATCATTCTTGATTATAAACAAACGCCAAGCTATTATAATGGTGTTGCCATGCCTTAACACATAAAACCACACCTTTGTCCATAAGACCAAGCCCTACTTTCGATTGATAAATGGCTCGCATTGATAATACAATCTTCCCGTCAATTAGTTCCTCCACTAATCTCTTCGTCCTCCGATCAACAACCTAAAAAGCATTAAACAATAATTGTAATATCAGAACGTCATGAAAACTTCTTTTGAAATTTAATATACATGTTCTGATATCATCAACAACCCTTGTAGGCTAGAAAGTATGGACACTCCAAGGTATCATGGCTGTATTAGACACGAATCTGACACGTCTATGAATTGACCTGGAGTTTGCGTCGTTCTTTATTTTTTATTTTTTGTTGTTTGGACATGGCTGGGCCACAACCGTGGTCTAATGCAATTCTAAAACATAGCTTGGGTTAATAGAAAATAATATAAAGTTTTAAAAGCAAAAACAAATTCCCAATACCCAAATTTATGAACAAGTTGTGAATAACTTAGTGATTACATTCATGGTATTGTGGAATGTGAGTAAAAATCAATTTTTGTACATATAATAATATATTGAGAAGTTCTCTGCCAGAGGTAGCAGGATTCCGAGTTTTCATTTCCTTTCCCACTTATAATCAGAAACAAATTAGAGCTGTAAGATGACACAAAATTGAAACAGAAGGTAGAGAAACAAACGAAGAAACAACAAAAAAGGGGATGAATTTGATCTGACAGACAATATCACCCACTGTCCACAGGCAGGTGACAATCCTATATTAGAACCAATTAAGAAGCTTCCAGTGTCTGATGAAACCACAGAGGTTTTGACTTCACAAGATTTAATAACTTCTCATAACCTAATCTGAAGTCAATCTAATCAATAATGAACTTGCACAAAGTACTGTGCAAATGCCACATCACTGCATCTCACTCTTACCACATTAGATCATAATCTTGTGACTGCACCCCATGCAGCATCACAAAACCATCGACAACAATACTGTAATATGCCTTGGAAACTATCAAACTTTTCATAAATTACAAAATGCCCATAATCCTCTAGGTCAACCAACGAAGAGCCACTTTGCCGAGAAAAGTAACACCAACTAAAAGTGCAGTTTGTGAAACTTCTCTCCCCAGTTAGATTGTTTCATTTTTCATTTTTGTTCTTTTTCTTTTTCTTTTTTTTTTTCGAAGTTCTGTTGGATTTATCTTTTTAAAATTTTACCCATAGAGATTTTTTTTTTTTTTTTTTTTCAATTCCTATTTTCTAGCGAAAGCTACTTCACTTGTGTTTTCATTCCCAATCAGAAAATAAAATATTAAACAAGTTAGCAATGCAACTTCAAATAAACAAGAATGATGTAAAAGAAGATTTAAGAAGGAAAGTACAGGGATGATAACTAATTTCTTCAACAAATTAAGCTCCAAGATCTGGCTGCGGATTTGGTAACAGAATGTATTAGTGCAAATAAAGACTCAGAAGCAATTCCTGCACTTTACACTGTAATGGAAGCTGTAACTTTTGGAAAATGCGAACACAGCCATAAGGAAGTTTATCTTCAACCCTATTGCAAACACCTAGCTACCTTGTCTAGTATATCTAATCCTAAACGCAAAATTTGTATGTGTGTGTGTGTTTAGAGAGAGAGAGAGAGAATACCACAATATGTGAAGCACTTGACCCCGAGTTCAGGCCAACATCATAACATGAAAAATGGGCCCATTCACTTAGTTTAAACATCCACCTAGAGAAATATGAATTGACCTTAGATTCTGAATCATGCAACAGAAAATAATCCGTCATACTAGGAACTGTTATCTTACTAGAAATGATGAAAGTTCAACATTGACAAAGTTCTCACCCATATGCTGCCTGTTTATCAGTCAAGAATCCTCCAGTCATAACCTGGTTTCCAGTCCCTTCATCGAAACACAGGGTCAAATGAATCATATTGTTCAGCTTATCAGAAACTTCAAGTGTCTCACCACAAACAGGGCAGCAATTTATAAGTGGTTCCCTGCAATTAGAAAAATGTAGAACAGATAATAATAGTACTGAGAGACTTATGAGTAATATCATGCTAGGATTATGAATACATACCAAATGAAATTTATAAGGTCAAAGAAAATCAACATTTCATGCACACAACTTATGTCCTAAAGGATGAACTAGTTGTCAAATGTGGTTGTTCAATGTGGGCAGTATCTGACTTTGAAGCTGCCGCAAGAGCATTGCATATTGCAATTCGCATAGTATCAGGGGTTTGTGAGGATTAGTAAGATATATTCTCAAGGATAATGTTTAAATAGGGTTGATATTCTGGTTAGTGTTTACGGCAGAATATTTTCAAATCCAGGGACTATGCCAGCACTTCTTGCTATTACAACAAAGAACAAGACACAATCCAAGTCAATGCTAAAAGTTATACAAAGGGGGTCCTGGTACACAGTAAAAATGACTTTTAACATTAAGAAGTACAAAAAGAAAAGCATGCAGTTATGCAAATGAGAATGGACAATACTTTTGAAACAGAAAATATTCCTAGATAAATTACATACGTTACAATCCAAATCATGGAATGTGAACTCAAAATCAAGAAATAGAAGAATCAAATTAACCTCACAACACCAGGCAAGAAGTACAGGGAACACCTTAAATGCATAAATGAAATACAAAAGATAAAATAGTACACTAATCAAACCAAAGCTTAAAATTTTTATATGGCCCTACTTTTCTTGTTGAATAGCAAGAAGCATAGCCAACTCATCCATGCTAACAACACCATCTCCATTCACATCAGCCGCTTTAAAAAGCTCCTCTTTCTAAAAAACAAGGTGAATGAATTTCTAAGACAATAATATTTGAGAAACCATCAAAAGGATATTTTTGATATACTGACTTGGAGGGGCTGGATTTGGATTCAAGTTCACTCATAAAGTTGCAAATTTTAATTTTGACAAAATTCATGAACAAGTTTTGAATCCCCAAGTATGTGGTTTTGAGAATAAAAGAAGAAGGGAATTTTAGAAAGTCAAGCCTGGGATGTAAAGATCAACATCTTAAATCCAAATCCAGTCATCCAACATACTAAGACAATTCAAAAGGCCCTCATTGATCAACGGAACATAGTCCGGGAAAAGGTGCAAAGACCTAAAGAACAAAACTTTAATTTTGAATTCACACCTTGTTAGAAGCAATTTGATTGCCAAATGCTGATATTAAATCAGAGAACTCCTTCAATGAAAGCTTTCCGTCTTCATCATAGTCCTGTACCAAGGAATTCAGTTCATTTCAATGCACGTGGGAGAATACTTTTCAAATTATGTTCTGTATTGATTATTTATTTTGTGTTGGTCTTTCCATGCATTATTGATTTGTATCATGTTTTGCAAGATGCTTTTCAATTTTAGAATAAATAAAATAGAATGAAAAACAACAATTGTGAAATGGTTTACAAAATAAATAAATAAATACAGAACAAATGAAAGGAACCATTTAAACAGCTGAGGATAGGAGCATGATAGACGTATAAAGTCTCATTTAAGTCAACAAAAGAAGATTCCATGTCATAAGGTTATATTAAAACTTCCTTGAGTAACTTTTCAATGTTCCAGCATGATAGATGAATTGAGTGTAATCATACGAGGAGAAATGGAAAATTATTTAAAACATACCACTATAGACAAGATGCGTCTTGCAAAACTTTTTTCTGTTTCGATTGGATCCTGTCAGTGTTTAAACTAACAATTAGCACAAACAAATGCTTGTCATAGTCTCTTCCAACAAATAGAATAAAGGCCAACTAATACACACCTCAACAGAACATGAAAGAGAAATTGTGCCAACGATACTGTCAGATGATGGATCTAACAAGTTAAATACCTCGACTTCAGAATCAGAATCCTGCAAAATTATTTTCTTCATGTCTAAGAAAAGCAAATTTAATAAATGAATAAAAGAGAAGGTCCAAGAAATGAGCAAAAATTACTTGGCTAGTTTACATATGCAATATTGAGCAGTATTAATGAAATGAACAATGCTAAGGGCTAGTTTGGTGTGGTGGAATGAAATAAAAGAAAGTGGAATGGAACGGATTTTTTTCCATTCTCGTGTTTGGTGCCAATTTTAAAGCTGGAATCATCATTCCCCACTATTCTTGGAGAATGGCCATTCCATCAAAATCATTCCATCTTCCAACAAAAGGAATGACCATTCCATTCCATTCCCACCTCCATTCTCATTCCATTCCAATTCACACCAAACTAGCCCTAAGAGTCAAGGGCCATGAGGGAAAAGAAAAAAAAAATTAAAAGAAAAATGATTTTTTATTTTTATTTTTTATCAGTAAAGTTTATAGATAGAACTCAAAATGGAAGTGCATAGGGCCAAATAGGGCTCTTAAAAAAGGAATATAATAACATAATATTGAGCACATTGATTTAGAGTGAGAAAAAGAAGAGTCAAAACCATCACATAATTAATAAAAAACCAAGCATAATGTCAACAAATAATAATGGTAGACATTTTGTCTTTAATAGTGGTACCGTGTTGGTGGTGGTAGTACAAAAGATCACCAAGAAGAGGCTATTATAGGTCATTCAAAGCTTCTTCCTCAAAGGCAACCCTCTTTCACAATTTTCTTGCTTTCAGCTAAAAAGAGTTCCAGGAATAAGGATGAAAACAAAAGAATAGAAGCCTTTCCTTAAGAATTATTTGGATATTGACCTTCCTCCACCTTCACAAAAATCTCACTAGCCCCATAAGTGCATTTGTGGAAAGGCAATGTAAAAAGTACAAATTAGTAAGCTTTAACTGTAGACAATGACTGTTATAAAGTTAAAATTACTTATAACAATGTTCTGGGCCAATGTGTAATGAAAAGTTAACGAAAGCAAGGTTGCGTCCATTATGTAAGCTTCATTATACATTTGTCCATTACACCATGACCGTGTCCGCATTGATGGCCGCTAGGGATGGCAAAACACCTTGCCACACCCGTTTAGAATGGTTTTGGGGCAAAGGTAGGGGTTAGGATTGAAAACCCGCATGGTTGTGGGGCAGGGATGGGGAAAGGTCACCCTTCCCCGTCCCGCCCCATTTATACTGATAAATTACAAATTTTCCCTTATAATTTATTTTATAGTAAAAAATATTAGGTATATATTAAGCAAACCCTAGGTTATCCTATTCCAATCACTAGATATCCTTTTGTATTATTCTTATTTGAGAACCTCTATGTATTATTCTTATTTGAGAACATCCTTTTGTTTCTATATGGGTGATAGAATTATTGCAATATGACATGAATTCTGAGTTTCATACAACGTGATTATCCTAATGCAGTATTCAAATTGTGCAACTAACTTCTGTTTCTTTTTCTTGTTTTAATGTGGAATGCATGGACTTGTATGCTCAGAAAGTCCCAACTCCACAAAGCATGATACATGAGAGTTTAGAATGAGGATTTCAAATATTGATAAATGGCTACAACTGAAAAAAAAAAAGAACTATGACTCACCCGAGTAAGAAACTCAAATAAGTCGATTTCACAGTAACCAACGATATTGTTCTTGGAAAGCTTATTGGTCTGCATCAAATAGAAAGCTGATTAACCGGACTAAGTATATGAACAGTACTTTTATGTACTGCGTAGTGCATATAAATAACAGTTTAAAATAATCAAGAACTTATTTTAAAAGATGTGCTACAAAAAGCCTTTCGCAATAATCAAAATACTTAAAAAAACTCTGCTACAAAATAGCCTTTCAAGATTAAACGATGTGCTTGCATTTTGCAACTAAAGACCAACTATCAATAAGAAGGCAAAGGAACCACTGCAGAGTTTAAGCATCTTTTATTCTTAAGTCAAATATCTGAATAGGCAATCCAAACCCGGTAAAACTGAATATGCCAATAGTTGCCACTGTACGTTGAATGATCGTCATTTTGCATCTGTCTAATTAAGATCAGTACTTCTCAGATGCTACAATCATGTCTACGCTCATAGTTCCCTCAACATCTGACAAACCTTACATTCCTGTTGAGAACAGACATTGTGTTTGTGTTTTATTCCGTTAGGCGTCAAAATTTTGTGCTCTGCCAGAAATGACACATAAATAGGTTGATAATAAAATATAAAATCCTCAACATAGACAGAGAAATAAATATGCACTCCACAAAAACATATTTAACTAAGAACAAACCTCAAATACAGATATCCTAGCAACATGAGGCCCATTTCTTTCTAGAAGAAGTTTCTTCACCTGTGGAAGAAATATGAAATGTTAATGGATGCAATTAGAAAGAAATAAACAACCAAAAAATAGATAAATATTGCCCTATGTTTCTTTAAAAAGGATACCAACATTGAAAATGATGCTGATTCATGTGAGTGGTGCAGAAACACAAACACACAAATTCAATACATAAATAAATAAAATCTTACTGCAGTAATGAATATTATTAGAAACATGTTAATAAATGTTCACACCAGCAAAAGGCAAAGAAATATATTAAAAAATATTACAGCAACATAAAAAGAAAGTCCAATTTGATAGTACATGGTTTTATGGAAATGAAAGAGGAGAGAGAGAGAGATAGTCTGAGACAACAAATATGAAATCACACTATAAATGAAAAGTGAATGCGTGTGTTTATGTGGCTCAATGCTCAAAACTGGGCCTGCTTGGTTTGTAACTATGGAACAAAAAACTGAAAACAAAAAACTCTGCTTGGTTCAGTTTTCTGAAAACTCAGTAATAAAAATGCCTATTTTCAGAGAACTATAAAAAATTGTTCTCTGAGAACAGTTTTCTGATTACTAAATTCTTGATAACTGTTTTCAGAGTTACAAACCAAGTAGGCCTAACTTTCTGGTTTAGTTTTTGTTACAAACCAAGTAGGCCTAACCTTCCTTTTGCAACCATTTACTTGACTCCTGTCATAATGATCATTGGTTCTCTTCGGCTTCTGTTGTTTAATTTCTTTTGCTTGCACAGTTTCTACTCATAGTGGACTGTTTGGCTTGTTATTAAGGACTGTGGTTTGATTACAATTCTACTAATAATTTTGCTTCTCAAATAATTTATGAGATGATGAATACAATCTGTAATTGATAGTCCTTGATTTCTTGTTGCTTGGAGATTGTAGCATTCGTAATTTAGTGCCTATTCAGATTGGCTTTTCAAACACTGCTTTTGGCTTTTTGGACTCGGAAGTTGTTTTATGGGTTTAATAAAACTTTCGGAAAACCAGCGTGCCCTTCATATATATGAAAGTGAGAAAAAACAATTCCTACGGAAGGGATAAAGGTGAAAGAGTTCCATACTAATAACATTTCTCTTAAATTGATTGTGTTAGTTTCTTCCAATATATCATTTTAATATTGACAACAAGTCTTGAAGAGAAAAAGAACAAAAAAATAGTTGATCAACCATTATAACAGTTAAAAACAAAGGGAAAAAAAAAAGTTAAATAGTTCTGCCCTTTAAAGTAGAAAACAGAAGAAACATTTTATAAGTATAGAAAAGCACAAACGAATGAATAAACAAAACTACTAAAATTCTTTACGAATGTCTAGGAAACATGAAGATGGCCTTTAAAGTAAAAATGTCATGAATAAACAATTGTTTACCATCAGAACTGAATGTCACATCGCATGATGATGAGTTACCGATTTAGATTTATTTCGATTAAACCTCCTCACTAATAATCTAGAAGTTGTTTTTAACGGCATATCGAGACCTAGATACAAATTTTTTTTAAATTGCCAAATGGTTTATGCAAATCTCTTAAAAAAATTATTATTATATCTATTGTTTGTTATGGATAGCAATTTCTTAATATCGGCGAATTTATTATTTTGTACATAAATACTACTTAGTAGATGCTTACTACCCAAACATGAAAGATTTTTTAGCCTCATATAAAGGAAAGAGATACCATCTTCCTGAATTTCGACGTGGTAGTTAGCCTAGAGGTTCTTGAGAAACATTTAATCAAGCACATTCCTCCTTGCAAAGTGTTATAGAATGAACTTTTGGTGTGTGATGAAATTGAGGACTATGTACCAATGAGAAAATTGGCGAATCAGATATTCAGGTCACAAACAATGATAGTACTGAGACGGAAATTATCCGGGATAGAATTGCTACTAAGCTAAAACGATAGTAGTGACAAGCCTCATCCTAATGCAAAACTATAAAAATTCAAAGAACGCTTTTTACTTGAACGACAATTGTAAGGAGAAATAGGAAGGCATTAGATTGGTTAAGCTCTAAAATTGCAGCATTTTGGCATCCAAAGGCCATTGCCTAGTACAAAGACAAAAGGTCACTCTGCAAGCACAAAAAACACAAGTTCAAAGGAGAGCAAAGTCACTCCCTGCCAATAAAGTCAGAAGTTAGGTTTGCACCAAGTCCACCTCTCCCAACACACCAGGTTGACCAGACAAACACCAGGTAACAGGGGTTGTGAGCTTGTCACCTTTTCTTAAACATCTTTTTTTGTGTACAGAAAGATATCCCTTTAAATACCTTAGGTGGGGAAAAGATTTCCATAGTCATCAATAAATGGAGCAAGACATATCCATTCCCAAGGTAACACATGCATCATTAAAAATGGACTTATGTGTTAAGTCTGATCTATCACTTGCCATAAATGATATTAAATGAATTAAATTAAAGCAGATGTGTGAAAATCTCAAGTGAGTGTGATGAAAGATATTTCAAGGTAGTGCCATGTAAAATTAAAGTTCAGGGTTACTCACAGAGTTCCAAATGGGCTTGTTTGTCCTGCAACACCAATAGAACACAATCAACACAAATAAATTGAAAAAGGAAGTAAATATCTTATGAGCTATGAAAATCTGTTATTGTTTCACAGGAAAGAATACGTTGAGCATATTAATATAACTCAGAATCGAGCTATAAGTTATATAACATATGCCAATTATTGGCAGATATGTCAAATGCATCTTAAGTTCACAAACTGGTTGGTATGTTCAGATGCACAAGCCTAATGATGGGCTTGGGCCTAATAATTTGGTCCAGCAGAAGAGGGATAGGGCTGTGTTTTGGGGCGCTAAGAAAAGTTTGTCCATTAGAGTTTTGGGTTTGGGTTTGAAGGAAGAGGAGAGGAGAGGAGATCCAGAGGGGATGGTTTGGGCCAAGCCAAGGTGGGGAGTTCTGCAGAGGTGGTCGGTGAGGTTAACAGACACTAGACGCCATCGGAGAAGAGAATTGGGTTAGAGCCAGATCTTACGGCAGTCGCAAGGGGAGAAGATTTCATCATGGGAGTTGCTGTGTGCAGAAGGTTCCTCGGTCTCCGCCATTAACTTCTTTCGAGGATGGCGAATCCACAGTCAAAGATGGGACGCGTTGGTGACGGAAGGAGAAACAGAAATGGGTTTGCCCAAGCCAACCTGGTATGTCTGTTTTTCCTAAATCTCGGAGCTTTCTGTCTGCTCCCTCCTCTTCTTCTACTCCTTCTTGTGGGGCTTTGAGAAGGGAAATGAGGGTGGAGGTTGACCGGAAGTCGGAGAGAAACTGGGTGTTGTCGCCTGTGGTGGAAGTGGATTCGGAGGGGATGGGGTTGGATACAGAGATAGAGGATGAGGTGGGACAGTTGAGGAGTCCTACACTGGATATTATGCTGAGTTGTTCTCCTAATTGAGAGAGAATGTATCAGTGATGGCAGCGCCGGTAGGTCTAGACGGAGTTACGGTGTGTGTGGGACGTGACTCAAAATTTCAGTTGAGTCAGGCGGCTGCGGCAGTATTGGTGAAGGAATTGAGAATATATAATGGGTTGAAAGGACTCAATCGTGAGCTGGATTTTGGCACAGATACAGTAGGGGAGGATTCTGAAGGGGTTTTTGGCTCACCTTTGGCTTTCAATGGGCCTGAAGATTCGAGTGATGATGGTGGTGACAGATTGGGGGGAGAGGGTAGTGACAGGAATGTTATGGAGATGGTTCCATGGGAGGATTCTACTTGCTTGGAGATGCAACAGTTGTGTGTTCTAAGGCCGGATGGGGGGAGGGAATTCTCTGCAGCAGGTTGTGAAGACAAAGGGGTGGAGTGGGTGAAGGATGACATCGATAATGTGAGCAGTATTTTGGGACTATCTTTTCAGCCAGATGAGGAGTAGGCTAGTTTGGTGATGCATTCAATTGTGAAGGGAAAGAATGGGGAGGATGCTGGGAGTTTGTCTAGAACATGTAGAAAGAAGAAGCGGTTATCCCCGTGGAGAGGGGGAAGGGAGATTCGAGGCCTGATTTCTTATATTAATTATAAGGGGAAGAATGGGATGGGGAGGGAGAGGAGCAGTGAGAGGGGAATAGGGAGAAGGAGAGGAGAGGGGTCATTTATTGGTTTTTAATGAAGTGTAACATCATTTCGTAGAATGTCCGAGGGCTTAATGATTCGGACAAAAGAAAGGTGGTTAGATTGGCAGTGAGGAAGTGGGGTGTTCATGTGGTTTGCTTACAGGAGACGAAGATGGCGTCTAATTCGGATAGGGTGGTTAGGAGTTTATGGGGTGGGAGGTTTATTGAATGGGAGACGTTGGATGCTGTTGGGACATCTAGGGGTATTTTGGTGATGTGGGATAAGAGATGGGTGTCAAAAGCGGATGTGTGGCGAGGGAGATTTTCCATATCTTGCAGTTTTTTTATGAAAGAGGATGGGTTTCAGTGGATGTTCTCGGGTGTGTATGGTCCAGTGGGTGGATGATGGGGAGAGGTGTCTTATATGGGAGGAATTGGGATTTGTTAGGGATCAGTGGAGTCTTCCATGGTGTGTGGGGGGAGATTTTAATGTTGGTTAGATCCCCTTTGGAGAGATCAACAGGAGGAAGATGGACTCAGGCTATGGTACAGTTTTTAGAATTCATTGATGGCCAGCATCTTCATGATTTGCCTTTGGAGGGTGCTTCTTTCACATGGGTGAATGGCAGAGAGTCTCCTTATCACACCTGGATAGGTTTCTTTTTTCAAGAGATTGAGAGGAGAAGTTTCTGGATGCAACTCAGGCAACCTTGGCTAGACCGACATCGGATCATATTCCTTTGGTGTTGGATTGTGGTGGGTTAAGGTCTAGAATGACTCCTTTTCGTTTTGAAAATATGTGGCTTAAAGCGGATGACTTCCAGGGATATGTGAGGTCTTGCTAGGAAGGAAGTATGGTGTCTGGGAACTCGAGTTTTATTCTTGCTAGAAAGCTTGGGCTGCTAAAAAAGGAGATAAAATGGTGGAATAAGGAGGTATTCGGGAAGGCATGGAAGGTATTGATGATGAGCAGAGAAGTAGGAGAGCGGTGTGCCAGGGTGAGATTGCTGTGTCGGAGGAGATTTCGTGGTGACAGAAATCTAGAGCATTATGGCTTAAGGAGGGGGACAGGAATACTAAGTTCTACCATAGGTTGGCTAATGCTCATAGGAGGGGCAATCACATAAGGAGGCTTACTGAAGATGTTTGTAGAGGGATTGCCCGATTCTATTAGAGGTTATTTATGGAACCTGTGTCTACGAGACCCCGGCTGGATGGACTAAATTTTGATACGATTTCTGAGGTGAACAGGGAGGGTTTGGAGATTCCGTTTTATGAGGAGGAAGTGCTGAAGGCGTTAAGAAATTGTAATGGGGATAAAGCTTCAGGTCCGGATGGTTTCAATATTTAATTCACGGCCCCTTAAAGCTTAGAAAGAAACCGTAATTTGGGCTCCTTTTTACCTTACTTTAGAAACTTGCATTGTGAGATAAAGGTCAAAGATTCTATACACTTAAGGGATTACAAAGTATTATAAATTTATATATTATTTTCTAGATCTTCTGAATACTAAGACTTCCATTGTTTTTTTTTAGGGAAAAAAAGGGTGAATATATATTTAAATTTAATTTTTTCATACTCGTAGTTCTATTTCATTTTCAAATTAATAAATTGGCCATCCCAAGTGAAATTTCCCAGGTTCAAGCCCTCTACAAAGCTTTTGGTACCAATCTTCGCCAACAAATTTCAAATAAGTTCATCTAATAGGAAGCGAATGTCGTTTTTGTGCTATTTCACTAAGATTAATGGTCATCTTGATAAATGTGCATTTTTGCCATCTCAAATACTGATCAGAATCAAGCAAGAAATTCTTCACATACCTTGAGGTATTCATTAAAAAAATCAGCAATTACTGATTTATAATGGACAAAATACAGTTTCACAGATCTGATATATATAACATAATAGAAAGGCAATTTTGTGTATATATAGATGGGGAGATATATTAACGCAACACATATGAAAGATTTATATTATATATAGGTGGGGGAGGATATGTACCCCCCACCAAAAAATAAAAAAAAATCAATATTCTTGTTTTCAAGTTATGGCCTCTCAAAAATAGTGATTTTGTAAATAAGCCTAACTTATGGTCCCAAACACTCGTATAATAAATTAAATTGGCCCCCAAAACATTTTAATAACACTTATTGGGCCCAAAGGTTGTGAGTTTGAAAATAAACATGACATGTGTGTCCCTTCAAAACTCAAATGAATATTTAAACTTGAACCTTTTTTGCTTTTCTTTTTAAAGTCCAAATCTTGTGATAAATAAAAAAATAAAAAAGAAAAAAAAAAAGAGTTGAGTTCATTATATTACACATGCCTATACTTTTAGTTCTTACTCGTTCAATGACGAATTCAATAGATACTCCTTGTATAAGTTATTAAAACTTCTCTATTTCTTTTTTGATAATTATTTTTGTTAAAGGTTGCACAAATCCCAATATTGTTTAGTTAAAATGATAAAAATAAAAATAAAAATAAAAATTCTTAATCTTTCGTCAAGGTAATGATGAATACCTCTCTCAAATGTGGAATCAAAGTATTCAAAAATTGAAACGATTTCTTAAGAAAAATTAGTTGTTTAATAATGCTTCAAATTTACTCCTTCTCCTTTTACGTTTAACTTATCATTTCCTTTCTCATTTCAACTTTTTCCATCTCTATTTATTTTGGTGGCATGTTTCTTAATTTTTTTGGATTGTATTTTCTTCAATTACTAACACTAGAAAAATATATTTTTATAAATTGTAAATTTTTACAAAATTTTAATTACATACTACTAGTTCGGCCCCCAAATGAAGATTTATGACTTCGCCTTGTATATAGGGTTGAAATAAAGCTAAGCAATGCAAAACCAGAAGATATAAGTGTGCTTAACTGATCAGAGACGCCCGTGCGAAAAGTCTGTTCGCCAAGAGAAATACAAGCAAGCCACCTATCCTTGAACTCCATCTCCGCCTTCAAGAACAATATCAACAATATATTAACACAATTTGCAGATACAATCTTGTTTACAAACACTTGTATGTGTGTGAAATTGAAACATACTTTGATTAGTTTGATGAGAGCGATTCCAGCGAAATCCTCCTCTTTCAACGGTTTAGAAGAAGAATTGGAGCCACTGCCACTGCCACTGCCACTGTGGCGATGATGGTGGTGAAAATGAATGTGAAGTCGGTCCTTGAGTCGAGACAGGCGCGAGGGAGGTGATTTTGAAGCATCATGAGAAGAATCATCCGACTCTGCAACGCCTGGCCTCGAGCTTCCATTCCCCATTCTCTCTCTCTCTAGGTCTGGGCACTTTCTCTCTCTACCTTCCCTGGCTTGCTTGGATTGGGTGCTTGCTCAATTTATTCCGACGAAATGAGAAAAGACACGACCTAGACTGGACTCCAATACAGCGATGTTCTTTTAAAGATTTTGAGTTGACTTGGTTTGGCCTTATTTTCTTGGACAAATAAATGTTACTATTAAAAACAAATTTTCAATTTAATTTCTAAAATTTTTCTCGTAACTTTTCTCACCAAGACCAATAATTTTTTTAAAAATATTCTTTAAAACCAATAAATCTTGCTTTTAAAAAAGTTGCATTTAATTCCTAAGATTTCTTAATCATACCTGGAAGTAAAATTATTAGATTATGAGTTTAAATTATAATTAATTTAATTTAAATTCCATTCAAAAAATTTGTGTAGAATACATGACTTTAATATAAAAAATTAATAAATTGTATTTTTTTTATTGAAATTTTATATCTAATTTTAAGGGTAAATTTTGAGTCTAAATTTTATACCTAATTTAGCTAAAGTATAAATGAAATATTTACAAATTTAGAACCTAAATGAAAAATTTTAGAACCTAGATCAACTAATAAATCAAGTTGAAAAATAAAAGTGTAGTAAACAAAATTAATGTAGTATTTAATAATTAAAAAATCAATCGTTACAAAAAATGGGAAAACATAAAATACGGATATTAAGAATCCTTTTGGTAAACAAGTTCTATTTTGCACTAGACAAAAACATTAACTTTTTTTTTTGGTGTGACTTATTCCAAAACAAAAATATGTTCGGCAACTAAGAATCAACCACACAATATTTCAAAAAAAAAAAAAAAGTTTGAATTATTAATACAAATAGTTTGTAGTGGTTTTTTTAATTTAAAAAAAAGAAACTCTCACACTCTCAACATTCTTGTTCGAATTTTTATTAATTATGATTTAATTTTACCGCTGTCACGTTTTGCTCCTACTCTCACTTTACGTAACTTCAGGTAATGTGTATAATTACATGAATAGTTTAAATTGCACGGTATAGTATAATGGGTGCAATCAAATTTTCAGACACTTTAGAATTTTTTATAAATTAAATGTCTTAATATTTAAAAATTTAGTGAGCCCACCATGGGCCCGAAGGCACGTGCCCTCTCCGGGGCCACGGCTCCGGCACTGTGAGCAACGAATATCTCTTTCTTAATGGTGGTGCGGTCTGACTCATCTATGTCCATTTGTAATTTGTCATTTGTTGAAACATTGTGGGGCCCAATAGATGCTAAAATGCTAGTTCCAATGATAGTATCTGATATAATAATGTGTACTACTCATTATGTAATGAGTTTTGTACTTTCAACAATAAAATTTAAATTATTACCTGAAACACACCAAAAATAAAGACAACATAAAAATTAATTTCAAAATCCTTGGTGACATGTTGTGTTATTAGAACCAGACCACACAAATATCGAAAACTAGGTAAAATATTATTCTTAACACACGTGTGAGAGATGGTAAACATAACATTAAAAACGTGACATGCTCTTTTACCTTTTAATTCTCAACATTATTATAATTATTATATTAACATGAATATGCAAAGTAAAATAAGTTCAAAAGCCAGAAAGAATTAGATCACAAATTTCGTTAGCTACTCTCTCTAAAATTTCATCATTTCTTTCTAATTTGTTAAATATATTTCTAATTAAAATTGTAAAATTTATGAAGTATGTTGAGATCGGGACGAACTCATAATTTATGAGTGGATTGACCTTTAACAACATTAAGATAAAAAAAATTGAATCATTCAAGGATAATCAACATAATTATGCAATTTGGTGCGTCTGTGCACTGTCCATATTTAATAATATTAGGGGAAAAAAAATCAATCCAGAAAAAAAAGGATTCAATCATTTAAAGATAAACAATAAATTCAATAACAAATAGACTTCTCAGTTTTGAGTCTATATACCGTGGCTTGACCGGTGTCATCGTGAGCCAAGTCTGCTCCTGATGCTTCTTTTCAAAAGAGCTATGATTTTCTCAACCCCACTTCCAGTTTTCAATTTCTAGTTTCTTGGATATATATAATTCAGTTTCCGATTTTCTTTCAGTGGAATAATTTGCAGATCTAATTTTGCTAATTCTCAAAAAGTCAAAAGATTTTTGCCATTTGCTGCTTCACCCTTTTTGGCTTTGTTTTTAATATATCTACGTGTGTGTTTGCAGATTTAATTTTGTTAGAGTTCTTAAAAAGTCAAGTCAATAGATCGTGTGAGAAGAGGGAGAGGGCAACTATGCTTTTTTGTTTTAACTCCACGGGGGCAAGTATTAAATTTAGAGCTAACTAATTTAATTTATTATAAAAATAAAAACATTTAATACTAAAAAAAATATTTTATATACACATTACATATAATATATATTATAAAATATATTACATTGCAAGAAATTGGAATCCTTTTTTGGTAAGCGTAGTAGCAGCATTATCTTTTCTCAAAGAAAAAATTAATTGAGCCAGTTGTAATAGTGATATGATATCACTGATTTATTAAATAATGTCATGTAATGATAGAACTTGCTATAATAAATATTTTATTTATGTAACATAATTCAATTAATTGATATGGATAACAAAGTAATAAGTAATAAAAGTGTAAGTTATTTTTTATGATTGAGAGGGAGAGAGGAGAGAGACCATGGTATGTTTATTTAATTTGTGTATATTGGGTACTAGTAAAAAAAATGATTGAGAGGGAGAGAGGAGAGAGACCATGGTATGTTTATTTAATTTGTGTATATTGGGTACTAGTAAAAAAAAAAAAGTGTGTATATCCGGTAAAATTTTTTATAAATAAGGTTATTAAATTTTTTTATTTTATCAAAAGGCAGGGTAAAAATTGGCAACCTATAATTTTTTTATTTATTTTTAACTAACTTAGGGGCCACTTAACTACATAGGAGACCAAATGTTTTAGGGTTCAAATATGTTTCTTGTCAATAAAAAAAAAAAAGATAAAAAAAAAAACAACATAGAGCAATGTCAACAAAACCTTAAAAGACAGTTGCAGGAGTATAGAAGAACTAAAAGATTATATTAGTGAGGACTCGAAACACATTTATTGATTATTTTAAATTGCAAGAGTATCATAGTTTTTATAATTTGAAAATCCCATTCACAAAAAAACCAGTTTACAAATGTCAACAAAATCCTCATCCCTGCATTATTGCAATCTAAAATTTACACCAATGCGTTATACAATTAAGTGTAATTAAAATTTATCAAATTAAGTGGATAACTATGAATCACAATCAATAATATAAACTTATTTAGTATTTTAAACCAATCAAGTTTGGGCTTGTCACAAATAATGAAAATTTTATATTCACTCGAGATTTTATAAAAACAAGGGTTAAATTTTAAAAAATGTGCAAATAAGTTTCTCTAACCATTTTTTTACAAAAGTAAAAATAAAAATCCTATTTTACGGTTTTGATTTTTAATTTGCCCCTCACCCAATATGTGCATTAAATTGGGCATTGGCCATGTATTTCGGTATAACCCATCCAAGTCTAACCAAATATCTCAGATGAGGAAAGCCTGATTGAAATTGCTCTCCCAAGTGGGCAATTATGTGGGTGCTAAAGAATAAGACTCAATGTTCCATTTGCAGCCAAAATTGGCAGATTTCTCACCAGAGTCAATATTCCGGCAACATTATCTTTCTGTTTATTGTCCATTTGCTCAGTCTGAAGATCTAATCCACTAGTTAGCTCATCTTGTGGATTATGATGAGATGCTTTGATGTGATGTAGCATATATTGTGAATCTATAGATTTTGATTCCATAAGGTCAAACTAGTTATGATGCTTCTTATTTGCTTACTAAAATTTTGAATTAACAAAATATATATATATATATATATTTGTAAGTAATTTTGAATTAACTTCAAAAGGAAAATCATAAAAAAGGCTTTCTCCTGCTAAATTTTCTAGGTAAACCTCATTGAGGATATGCTAGCTGCAAGAAGCAGACTTCAATCACCGCGATTTTCTCTCTCTTCAACCCCTCCGTGGCGGCCCATGGCGGCAGTGGCAAAGCGGCCATCATGTCCAAGCTTGTCAAATCCATCTCCCCAACGCCTTCCGGCTGGTCCGACTCCAACCACTGCAAGTGGACCAGCGTCTCCTGTGACTCCTCCGGCCGAGTCTCCAACACCAACCTCTCCTCCAAATATCTCTCCGGCGAATTACCCTCCGATCTCAACAAGCTCTCTCACCTCAAAACCTTCTCTCTCCAACCAAACCAGCTATCTGGCATTCATATGTACCTACTTAGACTTTACAAATTTTCATCAAATAAAGAATGACTCCGAGGGATGTTCTAATAGGTCAACCCATCAGTCATCTTTGGCCCCTTACCCTCTCTCTCCGACGAAACCATCTAGCCTTAAGTTTTTATTTTTATTTTTATTTATTTATTTTAAATAAGTAGATAAAAGGATCATTTTACATGACTTTGTATTTATAATTATTAATTTATTCAACTGAAGTGAGGGTATTATTGTCATTTTATACTACACAAGGACTTATTTGCATCACATTAATATTTTGAGATTTTTTTTTTACCACATAGAGACCATTTTACACTATATCAATAGTAGAAGTGAGTTTTTTACACTTAACCCTAAAAACAATTTTAGTTTAGAAGGAGCCTCTAGATTAGATACACAAATTGATACAATGCTGAAAAATATAATACCTCAAGTATTTCATAATCTAATAGAACCATAAACGCCCAATTGTGCAAGTTGTTTCACACACACACATATATATATAAAACATGGTAAACGTTCCCACACTCTCATTTCATGCATCATGCCGCCTGTTCCCAAAATGGAACGACTTTTTCATCCTAAAGTGGGAGTTTATGTCATCCTATACAGAGCTAGCAATATTCTCCTACCAAGACATTGACATGTTGTTCCCACGGTCGCACCTTTTTCAGTTCCAAATTGGATAGCCCAAATTTCACCACGTGGATCCTGACAGAACAACACTTGTCACGAATGACGAGAGTATTGCGTATATATGGTTCATATATAATGTTACTTCATCTTTGAGTCCATATATAAATGTTAGATTCTTTATCATTGATATCATAATCAAATTCAATCTTTAATTCAATATCAAACCAAGCACTCATTTAAAAGTTTAAATTAGCAACTGCATAAATAGAGTGATCCAATCAAAACGAAAACATTGTAAGTTCAAATATAAAAGTATGTTAAAGGTTCTTGTTCGGATTACACCAATGCATTTTACATGCCAATTTCACCAAATTCTTATGGGGATAATTATGGATGATAATAAGGTTAAGTGCACAAAACATCAATAAAGTATACCTACAGTACATATCACATCCTCACGTGCAAAAAATACCCATAAAGTTTTAGTTTGGTGCAAATAGGTCCATCTGATAAATTTAAACCAAAAATTGACTAAATTACCCTTACTGAATCATTTTATAAAATATATAAAAATAAATAATTTTATAAAATGGCCGAAAATAACACTATTAGAAGATGTCCCTCACATGTAAAAAACACCCCTAAAGTTTCAATCTGATGAAAATAGGTCCCTTTGACAAATTTAAATTCTAAGTTGACTAAATTACCATTACTGAATAATTTTATAAAATATATAAAAATAAATAATCTTATAAAATGACTGAAAATGACATTATTAGAGAACACCGACAATGGACAAGTAAAGATAAAAATATAAAATAAAAATAAAAGTATAAAAGAAAATTAAGATAAAAATAGAAAAAAAAAATGAAAATAAAGTGCAAACTAAAGAAAACAAATTTGCTTCAAATTCCAAAAACCAGTGCACACTGGTATTGGGAATTTTTTTTCTTTTATTATTATTATTATTATTTTTGGTTTAATAGTGTTGGTACAAAAAAGAAAAAAAAAAATCTAGTAGAAAAGAGTAAACTGAAATATCAAAAAATTCAAATCCTTATTTTACAAATTCTCAAAGTTTAAAAAAATATATATTTAGAAATATATAGAGAGAAGAAAGTTTTTAAATATATATATATATATATATATAAGGCATGTGCACACAACACCCCTATTCTATGAGATTAGTAACATATATACCACATTGAGAATTTTCGAAAAAGTAAAAGTGCGAAATGGGTATTACATGCAATACTAATTTATGTCAGATGAGGTGTTTTTTGAAAATGTGAAAAGGTTATGAGTGTTTTTTACACATTTTTTTAAATAGGAGTAAAAATACTGCGCAAAGTATACGTGTTTTCTGCACTTGTCTAATTGTAAGACCCGTGTAAAAATATATCTTTATATATATATTTATTTAAATTAAATTGTTATCTCTGTTTGAATTTAAACGGTATAAAAAAATTAGCACAATATAACGTGATAGGAGGGAGACCCAGAGAGAATGATCTGACGTTGTGCCTTTCTGCAGTAGCCGAGGGAAGGAACGATAATCGGGCATTCGCGTAGAAAGGAAGAATTAATTATACCACAGGCAAGTTAATCTTGCTTTATACATTTATATATATTTGTGACTTTGTTTATTAAGTGTTCTGATTAATCATTATATCTGGCGTTAAGGATTAATAGTATTTTAATGAGATTTTAATTGAAAATAGACTGGCAGCGTCATGCTTAATAAATTATTAGAACTTAAATAATTAAACTGTTAGAATATTTATTTGGTGATTGTTGTTTTGTTTATGTTTGAGTATGAAATCAAATGTGACAGTCTTGTTGTAAAATTCATTATAGGTGATAGGCATGCATGTGTGTGTGTGTGTGAGAGAGAGAGAGAGAGAGAGATATATTGCAACATGTAGAATTGATTTGTCATGTCTATCTATATATAATATATAGATATATATGAATATATGATTAAATGAGAATCTCATAAAGAGGAAAGGAGGAACTTGTTCTTGTCGAATTATACATGCATTGATTGAATCGAATGTTTTTTTGAAAGAATATAGTTATACTCTGTAAACAGAATCAATGGTCATGAACTCAACTAATTTTAATATAGAATTTTGGGTCAATTAGTAGTCGGAATGAATTATGGGTACTGGTTGGATCTCGGTTTACTTGGGAAGGAGGAATTCAGGTTTTTGGGATTTACTACAGTGCCACTGTAGGGCTTGGCATTTGAGGGATAGTCAGGCCCATTTCTAATCTAATCTTAGTCAACCACCAGGCCCAATCTGTGAAGCAACACTCGGGTCCTACTGAATTATAATTATTTTTAAATTCTTATTTCTTATTAGTTTTAACTTAGAATAATTAAGGAAAAATATTTTAAACATTTCAAAAATTATTAAAATTTCCAGAATATTATATTTTTGTATAATGAATCCAGTTTTGTTAAAATCCAGATTTTAAATGTTATTTGGGTAAGTTTACCAAATTAAATCTTGAAAAAGTATTATTTCTCAACACTAAAAGGGAGAGTACGGAAATACTATTAAGAATTAGATTTTGAAATTTTGCAGGGTCATATATCTAAGGTTAGGCTATGTTCATAAATTTTGTACTCTCAATAGTTGGGTCTTTAGGGTTCTGTTTTTAAATTAAAAGTGTATTTGGGTATATTAATTATTAATTCAAATTATTAATTAATAATGTTTTTCATAATTCACCATAATTAATAATTAATGGATGAGTTTGGATTAGTCAGAGGGTAGTTAGGGATTGACCCTATGATGACTTTTGGGTCTGGTCAGGGACCTGCCTAATTGGGAGTGCACTACCTTTTTATTATGACCATGGGTCTAATGAGCCCTTATTCGTGATCAGGGATCATCTGGGGAGTAGATGTACAATCCAGTTACACGTGTGTTTTTGGTAGTCAAAGACTACACGATTCACACTACTTTATTGGATGGGAGCCTAGGGCTCATATGAGATATGTGGATTTATTAAAAGTAAATGATGATTATTTATTGAGTTTATAATTAACTGGGATATGCATATCTGATTAATGTACTTATTTGAGTTTCTTATACATATGAGAATACAAGGTAAGCTTAGTTTGCTGAACGATGATTGTGTTTAGGAACGTGATGGAGACATATGACGGGGGTCGTATTTTAGCTCGTTGCACATTTACTTATTTTTACTCGGTTTTCCTTTACCATGATCATTGTAATAAAGTTAGTGTTTTGTGAGACTTTGTTTAGTTGATTTAGTAGTTATAGATAATTTATTATGTTAGAGGAAATTTCACCTCCATTCATTATTTGTATAATTTGTCAGACTCTCATGTTTAATAAATTTTATTTATGGTTGATGTAGGTTGAGAATCGGTGGAAGTTGTACTTTAGATTTTATTTACAGGACAAGTAATTCTTGTGTTAAAATTTGGAGTGTGACAATAATACTCCGTAAATAAGAACCATAATATATACACACACACATTGTTGAGAACGACAAATGTAGCCATTTGTGCAAGAACTTGTCAACAATATTTTATACGCACACTATAAGGATATAATCCATAACAATTCCTATTTAAAAATATATATTTAAGCTTGTAATTGGAGAAAAACAATACAAAAAACATTTTCGTGACACATAAAAATAATATGCTACAAATATCGGTATATATATCACTATATATATATTTTTAACAGTATCACTGAATAATTAACTAATTTTATTAGACCTGACCACATTGTGTAATTCATTGCTGATAATTCGTAATTATCGATTAATAAGACATGATGTGTTGCTCATGAGATTTAGCTACTATTGAAAGACACATACTCTTAGGTATAATGGGTGCAACTAAGAGGGTAAAAGAAGGTATATATAAAACAACACTGTGATTACAATCACGCTAATTATATTCATATATGAAAAATATTTGAAGAAAAATAAAATACAAATATAATCTGTCCAATACATGCAATTGCACAAATTATTATTATTATTTTTTTAATATCCTGCGTAAATGTATAGTGAGAATTTCAAAGAAAATAGAGAAACGAAATGGGTATAAGATTTATTCTAAAAATTTTGCTTCCTATTGAAGAATTTTTTTTTAATTTTTTATTAGAGAGGTTTAACTATACTGTATGAAAACATCAACTTAGTTCACGTCTATAACAATTATAATGTTGAAAACATCTGACTAATAAACATTTAGAATTTTGATAAATTTATATTTATATTGTTTTTTGTATTGGACCAACCTTGTAATTCTCTGTCATGTGAATGAAATTGGAGTGATTGGGACAAGAAAAAAACAGGTTGATGCATTAAATGTTAAAAAATCTTGTATCTGAAAATGAAAAATTATATATAAATCATGGTTCGCAGTCGCGGTATTAATCGTGGTATTGCTCGCAGTCGCAGTGTAACGGATTCGGACAAATATTGGTATAAACCGACAGAACTGGCGGGTTCATAGAGGTGTATCGCGATATGAACTGGCTGATATGGCGACCATGATATGAATATGGATATATTGTAACTGTTTATACATGTATGGGTATAATTCAAAAAATAATAATAATAATTTAAAAAGGTTATAAAGTCCAGCATAAAAAAATGTAAATGAAAAAATATGAATATGTTTTGTATAAATACTTCTTTATTTAAAAGTTTGGGATTAAAAATTCAACCATACATGTATTATTTTTCTTCTATTATGTCATATTATTTCAATATTAAAAAATTAGAACTAATTATTAAGAAAATAAACTTTCATTTTGTGACATTATCAAATGAATATTGAAAAACTATTCAACAACTCTAGTCATTGTGTCAAAACATAGCACAGAGAGAAATAAACTAACTAAAAGTAATTTATTCATAACCACAACATTGTCACAAAATGTAATTGAAAATTTCAAATCCATCCACAGTTATAAATATGTATGTTTGTCCAAACCAAAATATATAGCATTCCTAAACATAAAAAATTCAATTTTATGTTGTTCATCAAAATTCCAAATGTATTTGTAAGAGGATATGTTATACAGTTTCCACACTTTATTCCAATATGTGTATAGTTCAACCAGATATTACTGTTGAACAAAATAAATGTCAATTGAAGAGCTAGCATCAAGAAATTACCAGTACTCCATGCAAGAACATGATCCGTTCTCAAAATGATGAAAGCGCTTTCGATCTCTCACTGTTATTCTGCGATTATAAATTCTTGAAAAAAGTTTTAACGAAGCATGACAATCGTGACAGACTCGGAGGTTCTTCACTATCCGAAGTGGTGTTTGGGGGGCTGTACTAATTAAGCCAAAGGCTACTGTGATTTTCTCACTGTGATAGTGTAAGGCATTTTCCTTGTCTTCATCATCAATGTTAAGGAAGACCTGTGTAGTGTTTGGCCGATAACCTACCAAACTCAATTGGTTAGACATCTCTTCCAACATAATATGGATCTCTTCTGCTCTTGGATGGGAGCTGTCTTCCACAAGGAACTCGTGAATCACTCCATCGAGCTCAATCCAACTACATCCGGGATCTTTTCTTATGTCCATCTCTTTCATCTTCAGTCTCAACTCAGCAACATCCTGCCAGCGTCCCAAAGAAGCATACATATTTGACAGTGCCACATAAGATCCACTATCACGAGGAGCCATTTCCATTAGACGTTTTGCTATGTGTTCTCCCATCTCAACGTTTCCATGCATCTTACAAGCACCAAGCAAAGCCTTCAGTATCACGTCATCTGGTTTGATGGGCATATTCAGAATGAGCTCTTCAGCCTCTCCTAGGAGACCTGCACGGCCTAATAGATCAACCATGCACCCATAATGCTCAATCCTTGGTTCCAAGCCAGAAACCCTGACCATCTGGTTGAAAATTGACCTGCCCTCGTGCACCAAACCTGCATGGCTACATGCACTCAGGACACCAATGTATGTTACATCGCTTGGTGTCACTCCCGCTTGTTCCATCCTTGCAAAATAATTTAGTGCATCCTTTGCTTGACCGTGCATTGCAAGCCCACTGATGACAGCATTCCAAGTGATGACATTTCTTTGAGGTAGGCTCGCAAAGACCTGAATAGCCTTCTCAAAGCTCCCACACTTGGAATACATATCAACCAAAGCAGAACCGAGCACCCCATCAATATCAATCTTGCTCTTCTCAGCATACAAATGTACCCATTTCCCCAAATCAAGCGCCCCAAGCCGTGAAATTGCAGGAAGAACACTAACCAAGGTAACATAATTTGGGCACACATCCCCCATCTGCATTTCCCAAAACAAGTCTATTGCCTCCTTAAACTGCCCCTTCTGTGCATACCCAGAAATCATGGAATTCCACGACACAACACTTCTTTGCGGCATTTTATCAAACAACTGCCTTGCAGCTTTAAAGTCCCCAAGTCTGATATATCCGTCAACCATCACATTCCATAAAACCACATTACCCACTTCTCTTCTCTTCTCCGAATTTTCTACCTCAACGCTGGACACAAACAGTCCCTGAGCATCATTCATGACTCCACACATAACATACATTCTTACAAGATTACTGAGAACAAACTCATCACTATCTAAACCATACTTTACTATCATACAATGAAGTTGCTTACCTTCTTCGAGCCGACCCGTTCGAGCACAGGCCTTGAGAGCAGAAGGAAATGTGAAGCAATTGGGTTCGACAAACTGATTCTGAATCATCTGACTGAATAGAATTAAGGCCTCCAATGGGTCTTCTTCATTGTTGCTTTCGGAGAGTGCTCTGATGATGGTGTTCCAGGAAAAGCAATTGGGTTGGGGCATTTGATCGAACACGAGACGGGCGTATACGAGGTCGCGGTGAGGAGGTTCGGAGAGTGCGCAAATGCGGAGGACTTGGGCTGCTGCGAGAGGGTCATGAATTTGGCCGGTTTTGATCAATTTGGCGTGTACTTGCTTCAAGTCTCGCATGGTTCTGCATTTTCCCAGTTCTGGGAAAAATGTCGAAGGATGTGGCGAAGAGTGTGCGTTGGTTCTGTATGTTGTTGAATTCATGGGAGTGGAAGAGATTTTTTCAGAGGAGAAGAGAGAGAGGTCATGGATTAGATTTTGGATCATCTATGAACCAATCTTTGGATTGTTAGATGGGAGTTACTTAATGGGCTGGATTGGGCTGACAAATCACCAAAAACCCAATCTTGTGTATGTAGAGTCATATGTAGGACATTGAAGTGCAACCCAAATCTAGTTTTAAAGGGTGAGTGTAGAAAACACTCCTAAAATATGTTTACAGTGCATATCACACATCTCATATGCCTAAAACATTCCTAAAATTTCAATTTAGTGCAAATAGGTCAATTTGACAAATTAAAACCATAAGTTGACGATATTACCCTTACTGAACCATTTTATAAAATATATAAAAATAAATAATTTTGTAAAATAACCAAAAAAGACACTATTGGAGGATGCCGACAATGGACAAGTAAAGATAGAAATAGAAGATAATAATAAAAATATAATTATAAAAGAAAAGTACAGATAAAAATAGAAAATGACAAAAAAAAGAAGTGAAAACTGAAGAAAACAAATCTGCTCCAAACTTCAAAAACTAATGCACCATATTGGAATTTATTTATTTATTGTTTAATAGTGTTGGTACGAAATAAAATAAAATAAAGAAAAAAAAAATTAGTAGAAAATAGTAAACTGGAATCTCAAAAAATTCAAATCCTTAGGCTACAAATTATCAAAGTTTAAAAAAGAAAAAGTTTAAAGTTTCAATATATATATATATATATATATATATATATATATATATATATATATAAGATAATGTGCACATAACACCTCTATACTATGAGATTAATAGTATATATACCCCCTTAAACGTTTTCGGAAGAGTAAAAAGGCAAAATGGGTGTTACAGCATTAATTTATGTCAAATGAGTATTTTTACACAATGTGAAAAGATTAGGGGTGTTTTTTGCACACTTTTTCAAATAGGGATAAAAGTGCTACATGGAGTATACCTTAGGGGGTGTTTTCTGCACTTGTTCTAGTTTTAAACTCAAAACTTGGGATTTTTGACTGGATTTGGGTGATAAAATTTCTAAATTCTACAAATGGACAGGTTTGTTTGGCTGTACGGAATTGGAATTCAAAGAGTTTAGTTTTAAATGTATTATTTGGACCAATTATGCAATTGATATGAAATTGAATTAAAATTTCAATTATTTTGTTCGAATAAACTATTCAAATGGAATTGAAATTTATTTTTTTAATATATATATATATATATATATATGTATATATATATATATATATATATACATATACATATATGTATTAGTATGTATATAAGTATGTATGTGAAAATAAATATATTCAAGTGTTAAGTATAGAAAATACCCATGTGATATGCTTACAGGGCATATCAACTCTTTCTCACGTGTACAAAATACCCTCAAAGCATTGATTTGGTGAAAATAAGTCTCAGCTGACATGATATGCCCAAATTGTTCATACTAGACATTGTACATATAATTTTAAAAAAGGTCAATATGTAAAATGACAAAAAGGCCATAAGTTAATTAAAAAGAATTAAGTGCGAAAAACATCCTTCTACTATGCCTATTGCCTACCCCTCACGTGCACAAAACAACCCTAAAGTATAGTGCATGTATTATTTTGAGAAATATAGAGAGAAAAAAAATACACTAAAGTTGTAAAGGAAATATATAGAGAGGAATATTTATTTTATTTGTCTAAATTATATTACAGTTTGGATACATTGAATATCAAGAATTATTTTATTTATTATTATTTTTTTTTGAGTTTCTTGTAACGACTCACTCCACCACATGGTATGATATTATCTGCTTTGGGCCCGAGTCTGCACGATTTTGCTCTTGGTTTTATCTTAAAAGGCCTCATACCAATTGGAGTGATACACTTACATATAAACACTTCACCTTTTCCTTACCCAGGTAATATGGGATTGTGCACTCGTAACTCACCAGTATGGTAGCCTGCCAGTGTCTCGTACCTGCCCACGACACACCCATCCACAGGGTCATCACAATCCACCCCCCTTGAAGGCCCGACGTCCCTGTTGGCACAATTCTGGCTGGGTGAGGCTCAAAGCGGATAATATCATATAATCAGTTCAGTGCTCGCTTTGACAAGAAGTACTTTCCATATGCAATCAGAACAGCTAAGAAAAGGGAGTTCCTTAACCTACAATAGGAGAACATAACAGTAGCAGAGTATGAGTAGCAGTTTACACGCTTATCTCTATTTGCTCTAGAGGAGGTGGATACCAAGGCGAAGAAACGTACTAGCTTTATTAATGGGTTAACCTGGTCTATTAAGCGAGTTATTATAGGTAGTCCAGCCTACACTACTTATGCTCAAGTGGTGGACGCCACTTTGCAACTTTATCAGTTGAATGTAGATTTTAGACAGACTAGGGGCGAGAAGCGAGGTGACAGAGACTCAACTATTCAGCTAGCTGAGAAAGGGAATGGCAATGTTCACAGATAGAATGATAATGACAGATTTCAAGGACAACAGCCTTAGAAGAAGCACAAGAATAGTGCAGATGCTTAGAGAGATGGGGCATCTATTCAGAGACAACAGAATGGGGCACCACAAACAGTACAGGGTCAACCTCAGGGTAACCAGCAGAAGAAACAGTTCGACATTTTCAGAGGTTTTTGTTATAGTTGTGGAGAGATTGGGCACACAGCTAAGAGGTGTCTCAGGGCTATGTAGGGACATCATGTGCAGCAGGGGCAACGACCACCATTTCCCTTACCTGTTCCACTGGTGCCGCGTATTCAGGCACAGGCTACCACACATCTATGTTATGTAAAGCTACAGGATAAACAATATATATATATATATATATATATATATATATATATATATATATGTTACTAATAACTAAATAAAAAAAATAAAAACAAAGACTACTAAATAATTAACTAATGAAATAAAGAATAAACACTTTAAAACAAATTTCCACCAAATAATTGACATTAAATGACAAATAAATAAACATTCCAAAACAAATTTCACCCACAGTTCAAATAACCAAGTAGATAAAAATAAAATAAAATACCCACTGAATAATTAACATTTAAATGACTAACAATTAAACTCCAAAATAAATGCATAAATAATACAAATAGCCACCCACGTAGATAATTAAAATGGAACAAAATAAATAAATAAAAGCCTTGAAAAATTTAGGAGTACTACATTCTTCCCCCCTAACAAAGGAATTCCATCATCGGAATTCACCTTTTACCTTATTTCAGCAATTCTGGAAATTTTGAACGGATGACATCTTCCCGTTCCCAAGTGGACTCGGCCTTATTATGATGGCTCTACTGAACACGTACAAGAGGAATAGTCATGTTGCGAAGCACTTAATCACGACGATCAAGAAGATGACACGATGGCTCAATATATGTCGCATTCGGCTGTAACTTAATCTCGCTAACATTTATATGCTGATAGCGATCATCATCTCTTAGAAATTTCCGCAACATAGACACATGGAAGACATTATGGACCCGATGTAGATGATCTAGAAGTGCTAACCGATAAGCTACGGCTTCGACTCGATCCATAATCATAAAAGGACAGACAAAACGTTGTGACAACTTCCCCTTCTTCCCAAAGCGCATTATTGCTTTCATGGGAGACACTTTGAGCAACACCTGATCCCCTACATGAAACTCTAAACGGTGACTCGAAAACTGCCGACGTCAAGAATTGTGAGATAGATATTTTGGGAAGATTGTGAAAAATATATATTTTGTATATTGGCAACTTTCGGTGTCAAAACAAGTCCTAGTCGAGTTGTAATTTCCAATTACTATATCGGGATCGACAGCGACTGCGGAATTGGAAGGTTGTTCAAAGTTACTATGATTGAGATCATTCGAGAAAGGTAAGAACGACACTCTAGGAAGGAATCTAAAAAAAAGTTAGGACACATTCCATACTTGGTATATTTTCAGAAATTTCCAACACAAGGTTTTTACCAAGTTCAGCCTGAAAATTCAAGTCTGCTAGACTTGAACCGGTTCAGCCCCATTGAACCGGTTCAAGGCCTTCAAGATTGGCTTCAAAATTTTTCTGTCAATCTTGAACTGGTTCAGCACCCTTGAACCGGTTCAAGATGTCCTGACAGCAATACTACTTCTAGTTTCGTGTTTCAGAATTCTTTCCTATTTAGTTTAGAATTGTTCCAAATTCTACGAACAAAATTTTTCATATTTTCAGAGGGATTAGGTTATTCTAAACTCTATATAAATCTTATCATACACATAGGTTTAGACATAGCTTTTGCATACAAAATTCAGATCTATTGAAAGCTATCTTTGAGAAAGATTCTTATTCAGAAAATCAATATGATTTTTTTGATTTTATTTTTGAGAGCACACATATAAACACAAGAGTGATTTAGTAGTGTTGTTCTCTATCTCATTAGAATTGGAGCATAATCGAAAATTCAGAGATTTTGAAAAGCAGAATTCATTTGTTCTTCGTCAAATTCAGATCTAGAAGAAAATGGATGAAGCGATCACACTTTGAAAAGGCCAGAGCATTCGTGGAGTGTTGTCTGATCTACCTACAACTTTTCTACAGAGATCAAGAGTAAGCCTGAGGTCGAGGGTTGTTGGACGGGTCAAGGATCGTCAGCAATTGATTTTTGGTAGAACCATAGGGTGTGAGACTAAGTCAAAGTTCGGTATACTTTGCTTCAAGTATAGTGGATCGTTTATCTCAGGACTACAAAATCGAACGAGGTTTTTCCTGTTACAATTGGTCTATTCTACCAATTGGGTTTCCTTGCTAAAATCCTGGTGTCATCTCTCAAACTCTATTTACTTTACTTGCACTTTATTTTTGCTTTGTGGTTTGATTTTAGTTTTATTTTGGTAAAACTAAAATAAGTAAAAAATTGGATAAAAGATCAAGTTGAATCTATGAACCACTCCTCTAGGTTATCTATCCATATTATATTCCATAACCATTCCACTGCGTACAAACTCTCAACAAAAAGTAGATCGGAGAAGAACGACGTAAGATTTACGATCCGAAATCCTAAAGGCAAGTCTTCGT